GGAAAGAAAGAGAGATCGGGGAAACTTAGTGGGAGAAAAGGAGCAAGCAATATGGTTGGAACGTGCACGCAATGTCGACGGCGGCGAAGGTGGATGTAGGCGTCCGAGAGAAAAAAGAAGGGAGAGAGAGATGAGGAAGTAAATGGGTTAGGAGAGAGGAGGAGAGGAGAGGCGTAAGGAGGACCAGATTTAGATCTGGAGAGAATGAAGAGAGAGAGAGGATGATGGTATTTTGGGCTTTTATATTTATTTCTCTCTCTTTATGCTTAGTTGGCATGAGAATTTCATGAAAAAAGGGTTGAATCACATAGATCTGTAATTTAAGGGCTGCAACACATGGGGAAAAGTTAGAGGGGCCAGGTCACATGAGGTTATTACTTTTAGCGTCTTCACACAATTTTCCATTTTTTCTTTTTTATTTGTTTTTAATTTATTTATTTAGCTATTTATTTATATTTTGTTCTTTTTTGGAATATGGGGTTTGGTGGGATAAAATTGGAAAATGGAACATTTTGAGACCTTCTTTGTAAATGTTTGAAATTTTAAAATTTTTAATTTATTTTTAATTTATTAAAAATAATTAAAATGTTAATTTTAAATAAATAAAATGAAATAATGTTGTCACATGATATTTACTTTCTCGTTTCATGAATAATTTATTTTTGTTGGTTAAAGTTGTACTTTCATCTTACTTATATGTTGTTGTGAATGCACTTTTACAGCTATAATAAATTGACAAAAATTGACTCTGTACTAATGTGGCGCTAGTCTTGTTTTTGTATTTCATCAAAAAGATCTAACATTATATTGATGAAAATTGTGAAAGTTTTCTGAAAATATATTTCATTACTTCGTTACTTATAGAGTTATTTTTAAAATTTTCATTTCTAGAGTGAGCTTAAATTATTTTTACTCAGTTAGAAATATATTTCAGGGTAAAATTGTCTGGGCCTTTTTCTTCAACCTAAAGCTCATTCTGCACTAAGACTCAAGTTCTTGCGCCTTAAGCTCATCTAGTCAGCATCCATGCAGTACAACAATCCAAACATGATCTCATAATAAATCTCCTGCTAGACATTATTAGTTTCATGATCGTCAGACGCCACTCTCTCAAATATCCTTCCATTAGCATACTTCAATGTCTCATTCTGGCGTTTCTTATCACATTGTCCTCCGTGAACAAGTCCATCTTCCGTCTATAAATACAAACATACTCTCTAAAAGGAGTTTTGGGCAAGCTATTAAGGACAAAGGGATCTCTCACAAATAGAGAATGAGAAACATGAGAACTCTCTTACCAACAAATCACTGACTTGAGCTTCATATGTCTTTTAGCATGAATCTGTTGGGTACCAACTCAAACTCCAAGTCAGATACGGGTTTGAATGCTAGGCCTAATCCTAATAGTTTTCGTAGAGGTCAAGTTAACTTGGCGGGCAAGTCAGGGGTGTCTTTAAATAAGGCCTCATATTCTAGGGTTTAGAGTAGAGAGGAGGAGAGAGACAATATTCTTGTAATCAAGGTTTTTGAGGTGTAACCGGGTTCAAGGATATTGTGAGAGAGAGAGTTTGACAGTCTTTATCCATGCAAAAGATTGTAATTTGGAGGTGGTAGTTGATTGATGTTGATCCGTGGTTTTTCTCTGTTGAGGGTTTTCCACGTTAAATCTTATGTGATTTTATTTGCTACGTTTGGTGGCTTTTCGGGGTTTTTACGAGATCTAAAAATCCCAACAGAATCCAGTATCAGCCGTTATCTGCCCGATCATTGGAGCATTGGGACTCTCGAGAGAGTCAAGTTGATTCCTCTGAGGACACCTTCTCATTCCCTTCAACATCTTCAACTCATTTAGATTAGGCTGTCTAGATTTCGACACTCAAATCATAGAGGTACGTGACAACCCCCTATATTTATTGTGCAAACCATAAACCTAAGTATAATCTTGCTCATGTATGTCTTCTTGTGCAAAATATTTCTTAGATTAAAAACTCATTTCTTACTATGAATTTAACATTATTAAGACATGAAATTCCATGCTTTTGACAATTTTTCGTTTAGGATTTGAATCCATCAAAAGAGCATTATTCATGAGAAATTTTAAAAATATGAATTAAGTTTGATCTAAGAAATATTTGAATGTTAAACAAAAAGAAAAAGACAACAAGAACATTAAAAACTTCATATTCGAAATCTTAATTATCATTTCAAGCAATGAATACTCATTTGATTTGTTTAGTATACAAGTCTAAAAAGGCTAAAATTTGAGTCTTTTTGCACATTTGTCTCATTTACAATGGCTTAATGTAAAGTTACAAATTTAAAAAGCCCTATTGGTAAAAGTGGTTTAATTAGAATACCAATCTAGTTCGATAATTTAGCCCTAAAAAATATTTAAAATATATTAAATAAAATTTACACATAATTTTAAAGAATTACTAGACAAATAATAAGTCATTTAATAACTATTTGATCAAATTTTACCATGGATTTTTCTTTTAATTTGTGAGGAGGAAGAAAAGGAAATAGGAAGGAAAGATGAGAGAGACGGAGACAAGTACACTCTATAATTTTACTTTCACCTAATTAAAATCCTTATTAAATTAAACCATCTATAATTGGAAAATTCTAATAATCCAATATCTAGTAATCCTAATCAAATTATAACCATTCATAATTAAAAATCTCATAATCATATCACTCTTTTATATATAAAAATTGATGAACTGCTCCTAGAGGAAGAATCCTAGTCGGATTAGAACAATTCATAATTAAAAAAATTTCTAATAATCAAAGTCCTCCTCTCTAATCTTTTCATCGGAGAATCCTTATCAAATTAAAACTATCCATATTTGAAAATTCTATTAATCAAAGTCTTCCTTTATATGAAAAGTTTTTTTTTTAAAGATTAGAAAATTATCAACTACCCCTTCAAATTCAAAAATTACAAACAACCCTGTAATAATAAAAAAATTACTTACTACTTCTTAGGATGAAAAATTTAGAAACAACACCCTGATAAAGCTAAAATTCCAAATAAGTTATAAAAAATTAGAAATTTCCAAACGACCCATTGAGATTCAAAAAGTACAAATAAAACTTTGGAAAATCCAAAAATAAAAAATAATTTAAAAAAGAAATTATAAACTGCCCCTTGTAAAATCCTTAAAGTACAAACAAATAAATAAAATCCATAAATTACAAAAGGTGCAAATAGTTCAAAGTTACAAATAGCCCCAAAATTTTTTGTAAAAAAACCTTAAAAAATTACAACCAGCCCTTAAAAGTTTTCAAAATGATAAACACCCCATGAAAATTCTAAAAATTACAAAGAGACCAGTGAAAGTTGCAAACACCCTTAAAGTTCAATAATTATAAATAAACCCTTGAGAGATTTGGGAATTACAAATAGCACCACGATAACTAAATAAGTATAAGCTGCCCTCACGTGAAATCCACAAAATACAAACAATCCTAGAAATTCCAGATATTATGAACAATCCTCTAAAAGTTTAAAAATTATAAATAGTTGTTTGATATTTTTCAAACAAACCCTTGAAAATTTTACAACCAACATCTTAAATTTTTTAAAAATTACAAATATCCCTTTGAAAATTTAACAAACAACCATTTGAAAATTTTACAACTAGCTCACGAAAGTTGCTAAAGTAACAAATATCATACTAAAAATTTCAAAATATTACAAAAAACTACTTTAAATTTTTACAAGCAAGCCTGTTTTTTCAAAATTACAAACCCCCCTAAAGAATTTACAAAAAGCCCTTGAAAGTTTTGTAAATTACAAATAACCCTAAAATTTTTTACAAAACAGTTTCCTAAATTTTTTTACTTCCACCGCCTTTAAAGTTTTGAAAATTACAAATAACCCTTAAAACTTTGCGAACTACACCCCAAAAACATTCTAAAATTACAAATGACCCCTAATTTAATATATTATATTATAATATTATAGTATATCAATAATGTGGGAAATGCATGAGGTTGAGAGCATAATGGTCATAGGAATTCCTATGTCTTTAATATTAGGGGATGGTGGAACTTCCTCCTATCAATTTTGGGGAATAGAGGAAAGTCCTAATCTCATTCGTGTCTTAATCCCGTGTGTACCAAACATGAACATTGATTAAAATCTCTGAACATTAAAATCCCAGTCAGTTCTTAGTTTTTAAATATTGTAAACTTTTTATTTAGATTTGTAAAGGAGATTGATAGTTAAGATATCTAAATTTAAAATTTTAAACTTGAGACCGTAATTTATTTAAGAATTAGCATATCATTCAAACTACGTACTTTAATTGGGGAAGAAAAAAAATTCAATTTTACTCTTCTCATAGGAATAGGAAAAAAGAAGTATTAATTGTCTCTTCGTTCATAAGCATTTAATGCATTAGTCAACATATGATTTGTAAGTTATATTCTAACAAAAATATAATTAATCATCTCTTTTATTATACTAGGTTAATTTAATGTATTCAAAGGGCATACAAACCCCCCAAAAAAAAACTCGTGCAAGCACTGGCTTAATAATTGTAACTTTATCGGTGAATAAGTATTAACTAAGATTTTAAGAGTCAATCAAAATAAAATAAGAGTTTTGCTACAGTGACCTAAAATATGGGACCAACATGGGGGACATGTGAGGTGTCCTCCTCCTATTTCATAATGAGCTGTCCATCATTAGTGATGAGCAGCTCATTATGCAATAGAAGGAGGACACCTCATATATCCACATGCTGGTCCCATATTTTGATGATGACCAACTCATTATGCAATAGGAGGAGGACACCTTACTTGTCCACCTGCTGGTCCCATATTTTGGATCATTGAGTAATTTTTCATAAAATAAGATGGGAGGGATAAACAAGTTAAATTAGGTATAGGAGAGGAAAAAGCATTCTAGCCGACTTGAACACACGCCGTCGCCCGTCCCCAAGCCATCCACGTCAGCACCGCCTCTCCTACATAAGGCTCGATCCACCCCCAAAATTTCCCATTTCCTGTCTTTTTTCTCTCTCTCCTCTTCTCTCTAGAGAGAGAAGATTAGGGCTCTCTCCTCTTTCTCTCTCTGTCTGACCTCGTTTTGACTCAAAAAATTTCAGCTGAAAACAATCGAATCCATTGATTGCAAGCCGAAATCTCTGCCGATTCGTTAAAAGATTTGAACTTTTTTTGGTAATTTCTGACCACGGATTCTAGGTGTATATGTTTGATTCTGCTTGATCTGTACTTTTACTGAGTTTCGAGGTGGTTAATTTCTTTTCAGATGAAGATCGATTATTTTCCCCCTTTTTATCCTAGATTTTTGTGTTTTCATAATTTATGATGATTAACCTTGTGGGTTTTTAAGTTTGAGGTGCTTAGAGATATGCGCTAGCGATTTTTCACTTGTATTAATTCATTAGAAAAAGCAAAAAATGCCGTGTTATCGCTTTGCTGGGGCCGATTCGATAAAGGGAAAATTTTACAATGTGTTCCATAAAATAGTTACGTCCTTTGTGAGAAATACTGAAAATAGCTGGCATAAACTGATTGTACAATAAGAAGCTGTCTGTGACTACAATTTTTATATATGATTTGTTTAATTTATTGTAAAAGTCATAATCTGAAGGGCTCTTATTTTCCATCAGCTTGCCTGTTACCCGAAATTTTTATTTGAATTGTTCTTCGATGAGGCATGTGGTCATTGATTCTAAATATAGTTCCATTAACTCATATCATATTCTGGAAGCAGTTTCTTACTATGGATTAGGTATTTTCTGTTGTTAATTATGCTCTTTTACGGACCGAGAGTTTTAAGGTGGAAGTTATATGAGTTTCTGGAAGTTTTCCTGCTCTCAAGCAGGCCTAAAAGCTTTAGTTTTGGCATGATAAAATAAATTATATTGGTGCTCTTATTTCTACATATTTGATGAGTTCAAAAGGCTCTATTCTTTTTATATGCCTTTTGATCTTTTGAAACAACAAATAATATGTGGGCTTTAAGAATTTACGAAGGTTGCAGAAAGTAGTAAGTGTTTTCACAATATAATTGACTGGAGGCATTTTTATGATTCTTTTGTTAATTGTGTTTGTTCAATGTTGTTTATAAAATGATGGTGTCTCTAGATGTTTTCCCTTTTCAGGTTGCCATTAGACAAGCATTCATTCAATATATTCTTAATGTGGGTATAGTATATTTTTTTATTCTCAGATGTAGATTCATGAATATGATCTTCGTGAATGATTATTTTTAATGTTTGATAGCTTGATTTCTGGTGAGTTTATCATGGTAGAAAATTTCTTGAAGTGGAATCCTATTATGTAGATTACTCTCTTAATAGGCTTAAGTAATCTTGGCACGATTTACAAATTATAATTTGTGATGTTCTTTTATTTTATTGCTGGTTCCGTATCATCCCTTGTTCATGCCACTTTATTTGTATTTTTTTTCTTATTGTAGTTTACATTTGCTGATGAACCTGAGTCATGTGTATGTGTTAGCTTCTTTGAAGCTTCAGTTTTGCATGCAGTGACTTTACATATTTGTAATTACACTGTGAGATTTGCTTTGGAAAGTTTTGTTCATTTGATGCTGGCCTTTTTTCCTTTATTCTCATTTTCTTCTCTGTATGAAGTTTTCATTAATAAGAAGATTTATTTGTTTAAAGAAGTTTCCAGTTATGTAAAACTTGCTATTCTAGCTTGAGAAAGTGTTTGAAACTTTGCATTCAGTCTTTAGATTTTTTAGTTTCGCAGACTCAGGATTTTGACAATTACCAAGGTGTCCTTTAAAGAAGACTGCACCAAGAAATTTCTTCCTGGAAACTTACAGTCTGAAGGACACGTGTCAGTTAATATCCAGATTATCAACATGCCGAAGGAAAGAAGAACTCGTTCTGTCTCCTTTGAAGCTCGGTCTCATGCATCCCCTTATCCATGTTGCAGCTCATCGTCTCACCATCATGGTTCCTCTTCATCCTCACGAAACTCACCAGAATCTCCAGTTGCAGCAACCAAAGACACAAAACAATGGGATGAAGTCAGATGCCCTGTGTGCATGGAATTCCCACATAATGCTGTTCTCCTCGATTGTTCTTCTGGCGACAAAGGTTGCCAGCCTTTCATGTGCGACACCAGCTACCGCCACTCCAACTGCCTAGATCAGTACAAGAAGGCCTTCTCAGGATCCTCATCAGAAAAAGACGTCAATAATCAGGAACCATCGAAGCTTTCATGCCCTCTTTGTCGTGGAAAAGTCACTGGGTGGGGAGTAGTGGAAGCTGCTCGCCGATATATGAACTCCAAAGTCAGGAGTTGCTCCAAAGAGTCGTGTGAGTTCACTGGTTCCTACAATGAGCTTAGGAAACATGCTAGGAATGATCACCCATTAACTAGGCCAACTGAGGCCGACCCTGAGCGTCAGCGAGATTGGAGGAGGATGGAACAACGAATGGATCTCGGAGACCTCTTCAGTACAATGCAGTCAGCAATGAGTGTAGAGGATGGAGGGCTTGGGGGTCTCCTAGAGGATGATGAAGAGGTTGGGCTGAGGAGCATCTTCCACGTCTCCTCAATGGCTGTCCTGCTTATATTTAGGGTTAGTTCTGCTGGAGGCAGTGGATGGACTTCTACAAGGTCTTCTGTAAGGAGGCGAAGAGGGAGGGGAACCCTATGGGGAGAGACTTACAACGAACCAATGATTGATGACATGGATAGCAATGAGAATGAGAATGGCAACGGCAATGAAGATGAAGGGGACGATGAAATTGCTCGTGGGTCTGATGAGGTCACTGCGGCCCCAAGACGAGGCCGGAGAAGGCGCCGCCACCGGATGATGGTGTCAGACGATGAGGTTGGTGATGATGACGGCGATGATGATGGAGACTTACCGTGAATGCTAAGATTCATACCTCTATCAGTTCTCGTCTCAAGAGCTGGTTGGGGGTTTTCATCGGATGCTTGCGTTCCGTGGTCAGATTCTCTACTCTTCTTCTGCCATTGTTCTTGATCTTACTGCTAGTGCTCTGCCGCTTATTTCATTCTCTATAATGTTTTTACAGCTAATAAGTTTGCGGTTCCCTGAAGCCTCTCTATCAGGGCAAGCAAAATGGAGAAGATCAAGGATTTGGAAAGGAGAAAAGCAGCAGCACAGTGAGTGATGGTGACAAAATGGGTTGAGATTCTGCGAATTCTTTTATGTTTCTTTTGTGTCATTGTTTTTTGAATGCGTCCTGCATTCCATACGATATTTTCTTTTTAACATTTGGTATGAATTGAAGTTGTGAAAGCCTTGCTCGACTGTGAACTTTGAGGTTTGTAAGTGTAAGCTGATTAAGTTTATATAAGCGCGGGGGATGCAAGAAGCTGAATGTTTTGTGAAATGTGTTTCATCTAGACACGTGATTTGCTCATATATCCGTTCTTTTTGAGACTTGGATATATTATAGTTCCTGCCATCAGACGTTATAGTATTTGGTGTTGCGGATAGTGCTGGCAAAGCAATGATCGAATTCCCCAAAGAATAGCGTGGAGGCAATAATTTGTTTCGCCTGAAGGCGTGAGGGGTTAAAAATAATTAAATTCTGTTTAGATTTGGTTAGTTAAAATGAAGGGTTAGTTCTTTTTTCCTTTTTATGTTTGGCAATTAAAGAAGGTTAAGTAAGTTAATCATGCTTAGTTTTTTTAGGTATACTAACTTCAACTTTATCAAAGTTTAAAATATATGTTCTTACCCCCCCTATAAAATGCAAGTACACAATAAATTAGTGACTCCACATATTCATAATTTGTAAATAATGAAAGTGTCTTCAGCAAACTCTCAGTATGTATATTGTAACATTAATCAGGGACCCAAATAGAGGACCCAAGGCATGGGACATGTGACGTGTTATCATTCGATTGCATGATGCATTGAACAGTGCATCATGCAATCGGATGGTGACACATCACTTATCCCATGCATTGGGTCCCCTATTTGAGTCCCTGTAGCAGCACCCCTCTCTTTTCCATTCTTTGAAGACCCACATACTATTTTCTTTCATAAATATTGCACCTCATTCTTGCAACGAGAGGTGGTTCTCGTAGCCCTATTTAAAATCTCACCCCCCTTGGAGGAGAAACGGGCTAGAATCTTAAACCCTCTCAACCGAGCGAATTGGTAACCCTTCAAAAGGACGGGTTTTGAAGTTAAGAGGTATCAACCGCTAATCATGGATTAACAAAAGACCTTATGAATAAACTCGTGTTGGACGGGTTAGTGAAGAGTTAACCCCTTTAACCCCTCAACCAAATCTTTGCAAGATGCAGCTGTAGAGAACATGTTATAAATATTCAAGCTAATATATTCAAATAATTTATTGTATAATAATGTTTATTAAAATAACAATTATGTTATAAATTCGCTAAAATAACTTGATAAATATATTTAATAATTTAACATATAAAATGTTTATTAAAATAATTAATTATGTAATAAGTTTGCGGTGTCCTTATGTGGATATTGAGATAATATGTAGATAATAATTTTAGAATGTGTAAATTATTTACATTTGGGTTCTAACGAGACGGAACGTAAGGTTGAAATGTAATAGTGTTAGTCGTTTGTCAATCTCCAGAAATGGTTAAAAGTTAGGAACTAATTCATTAATGTCCTAGCTACTTGACAAATGTTTAAAATGACAAAAAAAAAGGAATTAAGTTAATTCACCAAGCTTGTGAAATTAATTAACCTTACCTTCGCGTCTTCGTCCCCTAAATTTTTTAATAGTCCCTCAAATCATAAAATTGCTATTAGGTTCCACCACTCTTATATCTTGCTACTTTTTACCTTTAATCGGAGGGATTAATTTGACATATTTTTTATAAATTGCATGACCTAATGACAATTGGAATGATTTGAGGATCTACTTTGAACATCTTACAAATAATTGGGGGTTTAATAGCAATTTCAATGATTTGAGGGACTAAGTCAAAATATTATAGATTTCAGGTAATGTTATAAAGAAAACGTTGAGAAAATATCATTATGTTTATGATTATCCTAAAGATAGATAAATCTGTCGTAAAGGAATTAACTCATTCACAACAAGCGGTAAGATTAGATAATCTCTTTTTCGCTTTACACGCATCAATTTTGTGTTTGACCAATTAAAGTAGCAGTTTCCAGAATAGTATTGTAAATATAAATATATTCTTGTAGAAACATATTTGTACTTTAGCAGAGCGCAACATATGTTATAATAGAGTTTATAGGAATTACATTAATAAGAAGGGGGGAAAACGAAAAATAAAAGTTTAAAAAAGAATGAAGGAAGCTCAACTGAATTTATCAGAGCCAGGTTTCGATCCTGGGACCTGTGGGTTATGGGCCCACCACGCTTCCGCTGCGCCACTCTGATTTGTTGAGTGCCTAATTCTCATATATTAATTTATTAAAAACAATTTGTTCACTGCTTGTCTCTTCAAATGCCGCCTCTTCTCTTCGCCCGACTCTCCTCCCTTCTTTCTCCACCATTTCTCTGATCAAAAGGCACTTAGGTATTTTATCATCAACAGCAATTTGTCTCTATTTCTGTTTCTATTTGTACTCCTCTACATAAAAATTCAATCTTTTCCCCAAAAATCTTAAGATCACCCCATAGATCATTTGGGATGAGATCAAACCTAGATATATATCTTAAAAAAAATCATCGTTATCCTTTCTTCATGCTAATTTTCTACCAATAGAACTAGGATAGAAGAAAAAGAAGTAATTTTTTTTAATGTTCAATAACCCTATTTATGCCTCTTTGTTGCAGAGAAGCACAGTTCATTAACATCAGGTTTGAATCTTGTGGTTCTCGTTAGCCACGAGCATGGCCAGATTATTATTCAACACAACTTTCAGGGGTCTTTTGAATCCTACCCAGTCTTTGATGTCTAAGGTTAGTATATAATTTCCCTCTTTCTAATAATTATTCTTTCTCTTTTAATCGCGGATCGACGGCAACTTGTTGTGTAACTTTGCGTTAAATTATAGAATGAATCTATTGATATTCATAAATACTATAATCCTCGTTTTCCGGTGAGTGGGTCAAGCTGACTATCTTAGGGTTTTAGGCTGGATTATGTTGGTGAGTTTTCCACTGAATGAACCTAAATCCATTACATGTGGTAATTGTTCATATATTAAAATTTGGTAGTAAGGAAAAATTATTTTTTGTTCTGCAAGATCTAAAATTAGACATTCTTCTATTTGACAAGTAATAGAGGAGTAGCAATAATCTCCAATGCCACGTAATGTGCCTCAAGTTGATTGATTGGATTGCAGTAGCTAGCAACAAGAAACTAGCTTACTTATATTCTTATTTGTTCCCTCAAATTGACGAGTTCTATAATTTGGAATCTTTGTAAAATCAACTCATTATTAGTCGTCTCAAATAAAGCTCTTTCAGATACTACATGTTAAATAATACATAAATAATAAGTTATGAAATATACATCCTAATATTGATTTAGATCACTTGATATCGAGGGAGTGTGAGGCATAATAACCTTGACTGATCTTGGCAACTTCAAGAGCCCATCTGTTGTTCAGTATGCAACAACAAGGATTTATCTATTACTCTTTGTGTCAAGTTATCAACAGTACGTCCTAAATTCTTGTTTTGATCTTATAAAATATTCTAGCCATATTTTGCTCATTATACATCTAAATAACTAGTCTTCCCCTGTTGTAGCATAAGTTTTGATCTTATGCAAATTTTTGTAGTGGATTTTATGCAAAAATATTTAGAATGTATAAAGTCTAGGGGAATTTACCTTTTTTACCAAAATCGATCATGGTCCTCTTCCAGCAGGATCTTTTTTCTTTTTTTCTTTTTCTCTTGAAACAAACAATCCACAATGATGATTGTGGGAGAAGGATTTAATTAGAGATAAGTAGGATGAGAATTTGGTTTAACTAATGGGTATTTCGATTTAACAAAATGGACCTTATAAACTATAACTGCAGACTTCATAAGCTTCTATTTAAGATGTTTCATCATTTTTGTTAGATTTGGAACTAAAAGATCAAAAACTGGTTAACAGTCATGTACATTGTTATATGTACTCTCTTAATATATTTAAAAAGGGCATCTTGCCCTATTTTTTAATATAAAACAAAAAAGATCTAACTACAATTAATTAAAATTTACTTTTATGTAACACTATGGTTCTGTAATATGTGTCATGCAAAGAAAATAACTAAGGTTGCGTTTGGATTCGAGGATTTGATTTCAAATTCCAGAATTGAATTCTAAAATTTGAAATCTAGAATTTCAAATTTAATTCTTTCGTTTGGGAAACATCCAAATTTGAATTCCAGAATTCAATTTGAAATTCATGTTTGGCAAATTTTAGAATTTCAATTTTAAAATTTTCAATTGTGTTCTTTGCTAACTAGTAGAATTCTAATTTCTGAACTAAAATTGTAGCTCGAAAATAATTTAGAAATAAGATACTCAAATTACATAAGGTTTGCATCGAAATGGGTGAAAATAAATACCTCAAATAGCATATCACATATCCAACTAACTTGACATATAGATAAAATACCTTATAATCTTAAATGTAGTAATGTCAATAGTTGACCTGATAATCATCATAAAAATAACCAAAATTATTCATCAATAAAACTTTATAAACTCATCCACCACTAACCAAAACAATAAATAAGGTAGAAACTTCAAATATTGCACATAACAATTCAACAAACTAGAGATCCAAAATATCCAACAAATACAAACCAACAAAAGTTAATATTTCGCTGTTACATAGTGTCATGCTTAAGTTGCTCTCGCACTAGTTTCTTTAAGACTTTTACATCTGATTCAAATGAGAGTTTCTTTCTAATGCTTATACACTTTTAATTTGTATTTCTTTTGTAGTTTTCTCCCCTCGGTTCATGGTTCTCAGCAACAATGGTGCTTTGAACCTGCTCAAAATTAAAAAAACTGTTATGGATAGAACTGGAGAAGCTTTTGAGAAAAAACCAATGCGGCAAAAGTGTTAATATGCAAACTTATGGAAGCATGAATGAAATATAACAAGCATTAATATTAGCTTATAGAAAGGAAGCAAGTGTACAAACTTACAATCAAACAATATATATATATATATATATATCAAAATCAACAAAAAGATGCAGTCATCAATAGTCAATACATATGTAGAAAAGCTAAATTAGTAAATTCACTAATAACAGAATAACATGAACTAAAAGAGACCAATATTCTTCCAACAATATATAAAAATCAACAAAAGATGCAATCATCAATAGTCAATAGACTCAATACATATTTAGAAAAGCTAAGTTCACTAATAACAGAATGATGAGACCAGTATCCACAGAAATAGTATAGTTTTTCTACGTGCATTTTTGCGTGTGTGTTTTATTGTTTTAGAGGAAATCTCTTACAAGCTTGAACACAAAACAAATAGATAACCGCATACGTGTGTGTTTTATTGTTTTAGAGGAAATCTCTTACAAGCTTGAACACAAAACAAATAGATAACCGCATAACATATATAGCAAGGAAAATGTTGTCAATCTCTTACAAGCTTGAACACAAAACAAATAGATAACCGCATAACATATATAGCAAGGAAAATGTTGTCCTGTAAGTCCTGATATGCTGCGTAGATGTGGTATATCTGTTCTTTTCCCATTTGGTGTTTGTGTTTTCTTTCTTTTGAGAGGATGGGTTCTTTCGAAATCCATTCACTATTTTGAAATATGCTGCTTCTGAGACAGTAAGATCAAAACAAATATCACAAAGAATTCAATTAAATTCATATTCAACTAAATTTAGTCTATCAACAACATCTGTAGTAAAGAGCACAAATACTTGTGCACAAAGGGAATGGACTAATTCACAAGCAACATTATGAGCAGATACGTGATAATGCTTACAAAGTTGATCTTTCAACCGAAATGAACTATGTGCTCGTGCAAGCAGTTCCTAACCTAATCTTGAATGTTCTATGTGCTCGTGCAAGCAGTTCCTACAACTAGGCAAGACTACTGCCAACTAAACTGGGGGAATATGTGACCACAAAAAGTGTATGTGTTTTAAACCATTTCTGGATAAGACCAATGACGACAATATATAAATTGCTTCCACTTCCATGCATAAGAATGATTGGAGCAAATTTTTTTAAAATTCCATAGAAATTTTATGTCCCACTCTATTAAGTAGAAAATGCCTCAAAAATTAAAAAGACAGTTTTGGAACACACACAGATTGATGAGATAGTATACTTTCTTTGTAACAGAGCAAAATGTTCGAGTCGCCTAAACAAAGTCGACAACAAGCAAAATAATGTTTAATTTGTGGATTCCAAGTAAGATAGCTCTTTTTCCTACCTCCTTGTGTAGGAGGCAAAGTCTCTTTACCTTTTCTAAGTGTATTAGCCATCACAGGATCCTTAAACAAAATAGATTCAGTCTGCAAAAGCACACATTAAAATGCATTGGCCAAGATTATTAATAAATGAGCATATGTATTTAATTTCTTTGCTGCAAGCATACCGAGAAGCTAACATACAAAAATAAGAACCTTTAACCATTTCAAAATTAAATACAGGTTATACATGTATAGACATACATATCTACACACATAAATATAGGCATGGATACATATAGATACGCACACAAACACATACGTGCAAATATTTTACTGAACGAAAATATATGCCACAACGAAATTAAATACTAATAAAGCTTCTCTCTCTATATATGAGAGAAATGCTAGCTCAAAACCTGTATCTTACATGGTGTTCATTTATGATACCTTGTTAGGGCCATGCATAGAGATAGAAAACTCAAAAAACAAAACAACAAAGATGCCATTGGCTGGATACACAAATCAGTGACTGGTCTAAAGCCTAAATACATAGACTATGATTCCGTAAGATTTATGCAAAGTTTACAGATGTTTTGGTAAGTTTTGCGTATTAGGCACAATTTGATGACAATATTCTTCTGTATCATTTTAATTTCCCCTTGTCCAAATAAGGGTAAAAATTACAGTAAAATCTCAAGTAAAATAAAATCCAAATAAGGATAAACATGAAAGTTTATCACTATATTCACATACAACCTTAATAGAACACAAACCTTAATAGAACACATTAAGCAACAAATAAAATAAAATCTCAAGTAGCACGAGCTCTCCGAGCTTCATATTCATTGAACATCTCCAAAGCAATATCATCTCTGAACAAACTCCATTCATCCGTTGCTCGAGCACTTGTAATGTAAACATCAACCTCATTGTCGCTATCAAATGTGTTTTAACCAATATTTAGCTAGCAGCTTATAGTGATTAAAAGCTACAGGCTTCAAATCCATTAGCACGCCAAACATGAAAATGGATTCAAATCTTGGTTAATGGGTTAGCACAACGTAACGTACATCTCAACACAAAAGCCACTTTCCTTTGTTAAAGTGATGGCTAACAATTGTCATTTTAGTTAAATCTGGGTTATTAAAGACAGGGAACAAATGAAAATGCTAACACTCAACAAACATCAAAGGACATTACTGCTCATTTTTCTACAATGTTGATTTGCAAGATTCCTAAATGAAAGGCAACATAAAGTATGTACTCGATAGTTAGCAGAAAGTTACTTGTTAAACAATAATTTCTTATAGCATCAGCATATTCACTGGAATTTTTTTCCCTCCTTTTCTTCTTGGATTTCAATGGGTTAAGTATAATAACGATCAGTTTAGTATGTGGCATTTGATTATCAAATCAGACAAATAAAAAATTATCAGATCAAAAGGAAAAGGACGTGATCATTGCCCAAGTATGTTGCCATCAAAAATGAGGTCAGAAAGAGAGGAGCACTCTATTTGAAAATTATCCACAATGAATTTGACAAAATCATAGATTGGTTATTAACTAGTTCACACTCCAAATGGATGCCTAATCCCTACTAAAGACAATGACGAGATCATTAATCAAATTAATAACAGATTCAAAGGATTCTTATTGAAACACATAACTCAGTGAAATCAACAACTAGGCATTGAAATAAGAAACTTACGGTGGTTGTGAGTCGGAGTTGGAGCCGGAGATCGAGCTTTTTAGGGTTTCGGCCTCGGAGACGAGGGAGCGGAGGTCGTCGACGGCACGAATGAAGTCCTGGTAGTGAGCTTTGTAGAAGGACTCGATCTCGGACTTTTTGGATCAGGCGAAGGAGCGGAGGTTGTAGAGGAGGACCTCGGGCTTGGACTGGGCGAAGGCGCGGCAGATGAAGGGGGAGAGGTCGTCGCCGTGGGAGATGGTGGTGGAGAGAGATCTCGTCATCGTCGTCGTCGCCACCGCCGGTTGAGAGCGGAAGTGGTGAGGGAGAGAGATCGCGAGAGCGGAAGTGTTGGGGGGAGATCGCGAGAGTGGAAGTTGGAGGGAGATCGCGAGAGCGGAATTGCAAATGACAGCCCACCCAGCGACATTTAGAATCATGGGCATAGTATAGATTTTAAGTGTTAATAGATTTGGGTCAATATCTAGTATTCAATTTTTTTTGGATCCTTACACTAGAATTGGGCCAAATACAGTATTTGAACTGGTTAACAGTCATGTACATTGTTATATGTACTCTCTTAATATATTTAAAAAGGGCATCTTGCCCTATTTTTCAATATAAAACAAAAAAGATCTAACTACAATTAATTAAAATTCACTTTTATGTAACACTATGGCTCTGTAATATGTGTCATGAAAAGAAAATAACTAAAATTATTTAAACTTATAAGTGGCCTATAAATATGATGAAATGAAATTGTAAATATTAAGTGGGGGCAAATATTGAGCTATGTCTTTGTTAAATTAAGTATTGGGTATTGGGTTAATGAGCTATTACCCGTTAACCTTAACCCTATTTGTATGTCTATATATCTCTCTTATTATCTCAATAAACAATAAGTTAGGGTTTTGCTCTCTCTATTATCTCTTTCTACAGTCTTAATGATAAATTAAATACATACAAGGGGAAATATTGCAAAAACAATTTTGAGTGGGGGCCTTTGCCCACATTATGGTGTATGTGGCTCCTCCACTGCTAAGGGTAATTCCTATAGCTGTCCAACGTTTCTTCCTTTATCCTACTTGTTGAATTATATTTATTTTCAGAGTGACAATTACTAGCAGGTAGCATCATCAGGCTCTGTTCTTCAGCAAGGCCTGAGGTACTCAACAGCTGGTGATTCTGATACACATGACGACTTCAAACCAACAAGCAAGATTGAGAGGTCTGGCGTCTCTCTGCAGGATGTTGTTAAACAGGTATGCACGATATTGAGATGGGGGATAGCATGTTTCTTATAAAGATTTGTGTCTTGCTCAATAAAGAGCTAATGTGTTCATGCTTTACTTACTATCACATTAATTAATGTTAAGCTTCTTCTTTAGGATGTTGTAAAAAATCCTGTAGTCATCTATATGAAAGGTGTTCCTGATGCTCCTCGATGTGGATTTAGTGCACTGGCAGTTAAGATCCTGCAACAGTATAGTAAGTGATCACAGAAAGATGGACCTGCATTTTATTAATGTTGTCGGGAGGTTGCTATTAATTTTATGAGCATGGTTCATTAGTCGTGTGCATTATATTAATCTGCGTATGATTATTGCAGATGTTCCTATCACTCCTAGGAATATTTTGGAGAACCCTCGACTCAAAGAGGGTGTTAAAGCTTTCAGGTGCCACTTACTAGCCTCTATGAAAATGCAATAAATACTATTCTTGCAGCTTAACAAATCATCATTTATAATAAGCCAGCTTTTCTTACTGAAATTCTGTTTTTTACTGCTTGAATGTTTGTGTTCTTCTCAAGGTGTTAACCTAGCCTGAGGAGGCTTCCCATGGAATGCATAGTCATCATAGCTGCAACTTTTATCTTGTTCAATAAACTATGATAATAGGCCCCTTTAGGTTTCAAAGTTATTTACTAGGTTGCCAAAAAATTAAAAAAAATAAAAACTAAAAAAATAATGGTACATGAAGCAATTGTTATTAGGAAAACGCAGACCATCGCTCTTCCCTTAGTACATCTGTCTCGGGAAATATTAGATGGGAAATGTCTAATAGCTGATGTTGAGTGAATGTTGGGATATGTAGTGTGTAGTGAGCACCATGGTGGATGAGAGCTATGTATATGTCATTTATATGGATGATGTCCTATACCCTGCATGAAGAAAAAGGCAAACACACACCATCCCTAATGAACTATGCAATTAAACTTAGATATCTACTTAGATATCTAATTCTATTGGATTTCCATGTCTTCATATCAATTTTGTAGCCTAAACGTGTATGAGGTCAACATTTCTATATTTACGTATTTTTCTTAGTTTGGCATGATGGAACTTTTTGACGTACTTCTGATAAGGCAGCCCTATACTCTGCCTCTACTGATTATATCAGATCACCAGGGAGAGAATTTTAGTAGATCAAACAATGGAGGAAAATTTTGAGAAAGGTACTTTACCAACATAGATTATAGGTTGATGGTCAGCTTTACATCATTTATATTTGAGAAAGGTGAAACATTCTGAGATTGCTATCACAGTAGAGATGACGGGATCTCAAATGTCAAAATAACTTAAAGTACGTATACTCATTTTAGCAAATGAAAAAACAACTTAAGCTTTCTATTGTCCTTTTCCATTCAAGAGCAGGTTCTGCTCTGCTAATCTTTCACTGTGACCACCATCTTAAAGCCAACAATAATTACACATGGGAATCAAAATATTTACTATACAAGATAAAATAATTTCGTGACAGTTCACAAAACTTGTATTAAGTCTTTTGTTCATAAAGTTTTATATACTGTATATTTCTTCTTCACGGTCGCTATCATATTTCCCTCTAGTTTCCTAAAAAAAGAAAAATCACTTGCAAGATGGTTTTTCTTCTGTCATTCTTTTGGCTGATAATAGCGTATTTGCACCAGCAACTGGCCTACATTTCCACAGGTATTCATAAAGGGAGAATTCGTCGGAGGATCTGATATTGTTCTTAACATGCATCAGGTATTTCTTGAAATATTTCACTGGTTTGCTCCTTGTTAGTTTTAACGGTGCTGAACTCTTCTTTCTTTTATCCTGCAGCAAGGTCAACTGAGGGAACTCCTAGCAGACATCAATGCTGACAGTAGCAAACAAGCATAACTAAAAGAACCCTTGAGTTCAACATTTTGAATATCGGCTTTCCTCGTTTAATTGTTTTAATAATTCAACCCATCATTGTGTTTTCTGTGGTTGAGAGGAGCTCCAATTGATACCGGAAGGGTTCTTATGATTTTGTACTATAAGTTCGAATTTTAACTTTACTGTATTTGGGTGGAGTTTGAGCATCAAATCTTCTCAAAGGTTGCTTTCTTCAAGCCTGATTGCTAATAATAGTTCACCCCTTGATGATAATGCTCTTTCAATCTCACGTTGACTCATTAGAACCAAGGTGGGGGAAATGCTAGTTTCAGAACACGATTCAGTGTAGCTAATTTCAAAAATTTAAGAGAAAGGCTTGTTGTTTATCAACTGAGAATAATTCTAAAATTAATACATAGTGCATGAATTGTTGGATTGGAAAGGTCCCTCGATGTAAATGGGCCATGCTAATTTATTTGGATTTGCTTAACTCAGGAGAATTAGTGAAGAAATTTTCTAAATAAACCCAATTTAATTTTTGTACTAAAAAATTGATCCTATTCAAACTTTATTACAAAATTTGAACCATTTTCTTGCCACGTTAGCATCGTGACCAGAAAGTTAGTCGATTTTTTTAAATGTGATCCTAATTAGTCGGGGTTGACAACCCCGACTATTTTGAAGCTCGCGGACAATTTGGCAACCTAATTAGTCGGGGTTCGAAACCCCGACTAATTAACACCTATTTAAATTGGTCGGGGTTGGGAACCTTGACTATTTCGAAATGCCTAATTCGAAATGGCCGGGGTTTCCAACCCCGACCATTTCTCCCTCAAGCTAAGCCCTACCAAAAACCCCAAACCTAAAACCGTCGTAAGGACCGCAGCCATGCTGTCGTCGACCATCCGCTTCTCTCCTCATCCCTCCTCCTCAACCGCCACGTCGCCTCGAAAACAGCCAAATCAAAAGGCAAGAAATCCACTGCCACCACCAAACACCAACAACAAAAAGGGTAAAGAAGACGAACGACATCTGCCGCCGATGACCCCCTCTCCTCCTCTGCCTCCGGCGAACCCTTCGCCAATGGCATAGACGACGAGTTCGAGCTTGCACGTGACCCTCTCCGCCGACCTACGATCCCTCTCTCGATGTGGGGCCCAATGACCGACCTTTGTTCACGTTCTCTGATTCATTCGCTCCACTCGCGATGTTGTGAACATTTTGATTCTTTTATCTTTTTTGATGATTTTGTTGGGATTTGTTGGTTAGTTAGGAGGAGTGGAAGAGTATGCTGCAGAGGGGTTGCCGCCGGGATGATGAAGGAGTTCGAAATGGTCGGGGTTGGGAACCCCGACCATTTTGAATTATGCCCTGTTTGGATGGAGGGTAGAGAGGGGGAGGGGAAGAGAAATGAGGCTTTCACCTTGTTTGGGAGTTTTTTTAAGGAGGGTAGAGAGGAGGAAGGAAGGGGAAAGGAGGTTAAAATTGCTTGGTTTTCTTTCCCCCCCCGATTTGGGCGGTAGAGGAGGGTAAAGGAGGGTAAATGGGTGTAATGACATTCTTACCCCCATCAAAACAAATAAAAGGCCTGATGTGTTATTAGTATAAAGTCATTTATGTAAATTTACATATATTTACTTCCTTTCACCTTCATTCACCTTACTCAACTCCCAAACAACATATTACAATTCTCTTCCCTTCCCTTCCTTTCCCTTCCCATTGTTTACCTTTCCTTCCCTTCCCTTAGTAAACTCCCAAACACACCATTAGGCATTTCAAAATAGTTGGGGTTCCCGACCAATTTAAAAAGGTGCTAAATTAGTCGGGATTTTGAACCCTGACTAATTAAGTTGTCAAATTGTCCGCGAACTCCAAAATAGTCGGGGTTACCAACCCCGACTAATTAGGATCGTGTTTAAAAAAAACCGACTCACTTTCTTGCTACGATGCTGACGTGATAAGAAAGTGAGTCAATTTTTATAATAAAGTTTGAATATGATAGATTTTTGAGAATAAAATTTAAATTGAGTTTATTTAGAAAATTTCTTGGAGAATTAATCCAATCCGAGTCGTGCTTCCGAACATATTTTAACTACTTATTTATTTAAGTGTTTCTTGGAGGGATCCAAACATATTTTAGCTGTGTATGTACTTAAGCTGAATGGATGCGAGATGACTATACAAATTCCCACAGATTTAGACGCAAATTGTACAATTAAAATATTACTATGCAATTAAAAAATAATTTATAAATTTAGATCTTAATTAAATTAAATATTACCCAAACTTTCTAATCTACAAAATTAACATGGTCACTAGGATATAAAAACATCTAGTTAGAGTTTTATAAATGTGTTTTTTTCTTCTTAATCTAAGTGAGGAAATAATTTACCATTATATCTATATCTTATTCTCACTTGATCCTTTTTTGTAATCATCAAACAACTGAAGTCAAGTAACAATCCTAAAAGAATACCACCCTCTAAAAATGTAATATGATAAATAAATAATTTGTTAGCAAACCCCTAAAATTCTGTCACAGAGAATTTTAGGTCTAATACTCACTCGTCTATAAATCCAAGTATCAAGAAAATTCTGTCACAGAGGCCGCTTCTTCACATTTAAAAAAAAAAAAAAAAGTTTCCTTCTCGTTGAGAAGCTCTCTTTCATTTTCTCTTCTTGAAGGGGAATACCCATCTTTTTCCCGCGCTTCAAATTTTACACAGATAATGGGTTCTAATTCAACAGCTGAAGATTTCAACAATGGCGACATCAATCCGCTGCCGTTGGAATTTGATGCTGTAAGTCTCTTCATGATGATGGCTCATCTCAAGTTCGTTTTTTTTAGCCCTGAAACAGTTTATTTGTGTGAATTTTTTAAGTTATTAATAAGTTCTTGAAGTTCTTTTTTTATTTTTTCTATTTTCGTGCATTATAACAAGGGACACATGTATGTGTATGGATCTTCTTGATTCGTGAAGTTTTTGAAGTTTAGTTGCTCATGTTGATGTTAGGCTGAACGATGTAAGTTTCTTCAGATAATTTTTTGGGGCTGTTATGCATTTTCATGATGACAGTTCATCTCAAGTTCTTTGTCTTGTAGCTTTATCTTTTTTTTAACGTGAAACAGTTTCTTTGCGAGAATTTTTGGAGATATCTATAAGATTCTGAGTGATTGGTGAAATTTTTAAAGTTTAATTAATTCCTCATGTTAATGTGATGTTGATTTTGTTAAAATTTCAGGGTTTTTTGGATTATGTCTCATCAGCACCACCACCTATGGACTCTGATATGCTAACAGATAGGTAAAATTCAATATTAACATTTCCCTTTCTTGTTGCTATGGTATTGAGATTTCTTGGTGTCAGCCATGTGAATGGAGATTTCTTTGGAGATGCATTAGCTCCCGGATCATTCGAGTCATCCATAACGGGTCAAGCTGTGCCATTCAATAACATTAATAATGTTGCTTCTTACGTTCAATCTCCCCCTGCTTCTTTCATCAATGCTCATGAGGCTCGGGTTGGGTTAAGTCCTGGAAAGATTCAACGTGAGGTATGTTTTCTTTTTCCGAATGCAACCTGATTCATATTAAAATATTTCTTGACATTTTGTGGAAAATTTTACATTTGAGATTCTGGCAATATATGGTGCTAAATGTTCAAAATAGGAATGCATTCTTTGAACTGTTTTCTCCTGAAGGAAATCTTCATGAAGGTTCTAGTTTCTGAGTCTTATATATTTGCTTCATTTGATTTCATTTTTTTACGAGCTAAACAAAATGTTATATTATAGGCTTTGAATGATGCAGTTAGTATGATGCAACATCACTCTTCTAGGGGCAAAACCTGGACTGTTTTCTTCTGTGCACCCGTACAAATCTTGAAAGCTTATGCTATTACAGTTGTTGTAGGCAAAGCTGATAAATGTTGTGCAAGAAAAATTAGTTTTATCGACCAATAGGTAAAACATTCCACTTAGGATAAATATGGTTATATGTCGTGTGTAGTATTCTAGTTAATGTCAGTTTTCAGTTGTAATGCTTCCTTTTTGTTTTGTTTTGTTTTGGTTTCTAGTTTAGATCCTAATAATGCTTAAGTAATCCTATTTCTACTCTGTTTGCTTATCCTGTCAATTCAATAATCAATAAGATACAACAAGATCAGTATGTACCTTTCCAGCCTTTGATGAATGTAAACCCTCTTCATAGTTTTCCTCAGATGAAGGGGTTTCTTGATAAACTGAGCATAGATGAAGGGGGTTTGTTGTAATTTACCCTTATTGTTATGCAACTTGATTAGTACCAACATATTTCTTGACATTTTTGTGAAATAGATTTGAGATTCTTATGTATGATGCTAAATGTTCAGAATAGGAATGTCCGTTTGAACTGTTTTCTTGAGGGTAATCCTTATAAAAATCTCACTTTCTAGTTCTCATTTATTTGCTTCATTGTGAGATTATCTTTTTACAAGCGCTAAAATGTTATAGTATACTGCCTTTGAATGATGCATCACTCTTCTAGGGGCAATACTTGGATTTTTTACCTTCTATGCACACATAAAGTTTATGCAATTACAACTTCACGCAAAATGATAAATGTCGTGTAAGAAAAATTAGTTTTCTCAACCAATAGCTCAAACTTTCAAGTTAGGATAAATTTGGTTGTGTTATGTGCAATATTATAGTTATTAAATAACGTCAGTCTTCATAGTTTTTGACTGAGCAACCAATAAATCAAGTGTTCAATTGTAATGCTTGATTCTTTTGTTCACATTGCTGCTTGTTTTAGATCAAACTTATATCACCAGTGATTTTTACTATGTTTCCTTATCCTGTCCAAAAGGCACAGCAAGAGCGTCAAGCATACCAACCTCCAATGAATGTTAATCGTTTTAATAGCATTTCTCCAATGAGGACTACCGATTCATATGCAGCTCCACGAGATTCAAAAAGCCTTCTTGAAGATTCTGGTAGTTACGATGACCCAACTGGTGAAAGCAACAAATCAAATAGGCAAGGATTTGTCTTGTTTTACTGTACTCATGTATCTATCTGGATACTTTCATAGAACTTTATGATTTCAGGGGCAATGCACTTCCAAACAATGCCAGCAAATATTGCACTTGTAAGGCACTCTGCTTGAAACGGTAATCTTCTCTTTAATTTGCCCTGCTACTGTCCTTTGTTACTGAGTCTAGGTAGGTCTTAACATTTCAAGTCCTTTATGTTCTTTTGCAGCTACTGTCGGTGCTTCTCACAAAATTATTACTGTCGAGATTGTTCTTGTGTGGGGTGCTTTAACTCAAGTGGTTATGAAGATTCAGTCCGAATGGCTCATGAAGATATTAAGTTGAGGGATTTTAAGGTAGAGAAATGGTTGTAATATTAAGTTGAGCTTTTTGTCTTACCAATTTAAAATAGATAGTCATAGTGCCTTTTATCCCGCAGATGGGTAAGCAGATTGCATCAAGTTCAGGCATGAACACAAGATGTAACTGCACGAAGTCCCACTGCCGGAAACATTATTGTGAATGTTATAATGTAATTGTTTTTTTACCCTATGAAATGTTTTAGTTTTGGTTTATTGTTTTATTCATATTCACATTGAACTTAACTTTTTTTTTGTAGGTTGGCATTGGATGTTCTCTCAACTGTCGATGTGCAGGCTGTCAGAACTTCTATGGCAAAAGGCAAGGTAAATTAATTCTGCAAAATCTTCTGATATCTTGCCACCTAGTAATCATCCTGGTCACCAGGAAAGTAATTTGTTAGTATTTGATAGTAATGAACCGGCTGAAGTTACTTCCAATATGAGATGGCCAAGTACTGCAATGCTGTGCTGATATTATATAAAGGGTTAATTTCAGAAAGCTCAACCGACCTTCGGAGAGTAATATATATCTTTTAAGTTTTCTTGTTGCAAGCTCCTGGCATCTTAACCTGAAATTTGTTGAATTGTTCAAAAGTATTCTATTTACCTTGCTGAGCAGAAGAAACAAATCGCTGTATGGAAATACTGGCAGAGTCATCATATACATTTAAAATTCTGTAATCTAATGCATATTTTCTGTATCTTCATCCTTTTTCTCCAATTCCTTGTTCAGTATCTGAACAATATACATTATGAGTCTTACAGGAACCGAGCCAATTATTCAAAGAGAAAATGGGAGTGGCAGGAGGGATTCAACTGGTGGAAGAACAGTATTTGGGAGTTCAGAAATGATCCGACAACAACTTATCTCGAGCACAATGTAAGAGTCTAGAATTTTGTGGTTTATGCATTCTGATGTTCATCTCTTTTTTTGATCTAATTAATCTGAGACCATTCATTTGGTTCGCAGGAAAAATGGTCAGATTGTTGTAAATGATAATCAGTTATCAAGCATAGTGCCAGGTGATTTATTCAAATTCTAAAGTTCTTATCAGTTAATATCATCGCATTCTTAGTAGTAATATTGCTGCTTTTTCTGTTTCAGAAACATTGACTCCAGGCTCTGGTTCTGAGCAATCGGATTTAATTCAAGGACCATCAGATGTCAGCGATGAGTATCTGAACTAGAGATGCTAATCTACACCATTCTGATCTCCTGAGATCTCTCTCGTCAAGATGCAATATTGAACAAGCTATATCGGCATATGTGTAGATCTTTTGGCAGAACTCGATTACTATAAACACTCATATATCTTGCTAATGTCTGAAGTGGGCTAACGTTAGACAATACTGTATACTGTTCATTTTCATATGTTGCGTCTGAACATCATTTTATGCAAAGTTTACCAAGAATTTTTTTATGAGATATTTCTGTTTTGTTGGTCTTCAAAGTAATTTCAGTGATGGGTACGCTATGCATTTGTAGCTAAGAAACACCAAAACTCACTGAGCCAAGTTCCGATCCCAGTTTTGCAATTATTGACAGAGATCTTGGTTGTAGAGATTCTACAAATTTGTTTGGTAGACCTATAACATATCTTTATTCTGTGGACCTCATGAAAGATACTTGTTTCTAAATTATTAAAACAAAATTATAATTGTTTAAAATGCTTTATAAAACATATTATTGGCCAATACAACAGAATGTGTATGCATAAACTTCTTCGTTTGTCATGAAAAAATCTGCCTTTTAGTCTTTTTGATGTAGAAACCGATTCATAGAACAGTCTAATTCTATGACAGGCATAAGACACCACAATTAATAACTAAAATATTTATTATTTATATGTTAATTATACTATCTCTTCAAAAAAATTTTATAAGTACTGTTTATTTCTGGGACCTTCAGAGAATAGATATTCTATCCAACGTTTCGCATATGTTTAGATAATTATTTTTGGAAAAAGTTTTGATATTACTAAATTAATCTGTAAACTTATCATAAGAATTTCTAATTACCTGAAATTTTGTTAAATATGGACTAGTATGAAATTAATGAAAGGTGTAAACAAATAAATTTTAATTAAGGATTCTAAAAGGCTAGTTCTCCTGTTATTTTGTGCCCCTCAACTATATATCTTCAACTATAAATTAAGTTCTTAAGCGGAAACAATGGAGTTGTTGTTAAGTTCAAACTCTTATTATTACATAGAGATAATATTAATAACTGCTCTAATTTTTCTCTGCCTACATTTGGACCTATCTGATCTCTATTGTTAATCTCATCATTCATACACGTTTCTTTCCTGCACATCTATAACAAAATGTGAAAATACAATTATTGTTTGGGTTTTTCCCAATATATACCCTTCAAATTATAGGGGTTTCTAAATTAACCATCAAATCATTGTATTATCAAAATTTTCCTCCAATTCTTTTGGTTCATCCAAATTTGCCCTTCAACCTATTTATGGTTGAAGGAACTAAACAATCTGGGGGTATTAAAGAAGCAAATTAATACGTACTGTGCACAAACAACCTTTAATTTTAATCAATATATCAAAGGGTAACTTAGGTATTTTAAAAAAAACCCTTATTATGGTATTTATCTCAGGTAGACTCCTCTTGTCGTGAAAGAACTAAATAAATATTTGTAGATACATTATTTGAAAATACTTTCCGTTACAGACTTCTTCATAAGTAGAACTCCCTCCCTAGCTACTTCTCTATTCAAATAGCTCTCTTTCTCTTCTCTTCTCTAATTGAGGGGAACTAATTGAACCTTCTTTTTTTTTGTTCTAAATTCTATAGACATGGGTTCTGATTCAACATCTAGAGATTCCAACAATAAAAATATCTCTCTCCCTCTCCTCTTCTCTTCTCTTATTGAGGGGAAATAATCGAACCCTCTTTTTTTTTGGTTCTAAATTCTATAGACACGGGTTCTGATTCAACATCTAGAGATTCCAACAACAACGATGATGTAAGTTTCTTCAGATAATTTTTATGATGGTTCATCTTATGTTATTTGCCTCTAACTTTATTCTTCTTGAAATTTTGCAGTAGATATCAACAAGTTTTTGAATTCTTCTCTTTTTTTTCTTTACTTTTAACTTTTAAGTATTGTAATGAAGAACATATGAAACTTAGCAATTTTGCTTGATTTTTTTTCCGACCAGAAGAACTACTTTCATAACAGAATAAGTAAAACATTTTTTACAAAAATTTGATGGAATTGAACTCTCTGGTTAATATGGAACATTTAAAAGTAACTGAATTCCTCTCGTAAGGGAATCACCCACCATCTCAATCAACTTATGCCGTAATCTGAAGTCATCAAAGCATGAAAAAACTTGTATCCACGACTATTTCCTGGGGGTGCAGTAATCTGAAAGTAATTTTGATTGAGTAGTGGAGTTGTTGGAGTTTAATTTCTTATGTAGATAGAAGTTGATTTTCTTAAATTTGCAGGATTTGTCCACTTGGTGTTATTCTCCACCAACATGCTCACCAACAGACCTTGACGTGCTAATGGGAAGGTAATACTCAACGCTAATGGAGTTTTGATATTCTTTGTTCAATACGGAGTCGCGTCTAACTCAGATTTGGTGAAATCCCAACCTTAATTTAGCAAAACTTACACTTATATAAAATTTATATACCTATTAATTGAATACAACTAGTATAACTAATTTCTTAATTTTTGGTTTTTTACCACAGTGAAAACTCTTGTCTTAGAACTCTTGTAAAACTTAAGTTGTGGTATCCACCTAAACGAAATCATGCACTCGATCTCAGTACGCATGAAATGATGACATCCACCTTATATATTTTCTTTTATATTAAAAATAGAAATACGTTTTGTATGGAACGAAATATGTCAGATATTATGCTTGAACTTTTAGAAATCCATCGAATTGCTTGGAGTTCGACAAAGCGGAGGTTAAGCCCGTAAGGGGCTTCTGACGAGACAGCAATAGTAAAGAGAAGATATCCGTCTTTAATTCGCATACCTTCCTTCATGCGAAGGGTGAAGAGGCGTTGCTTCAAGTAGAGCTTGTTCGTTAGAAATTTCGTCATGTACAAGCTTTTCAACTTGAACCACTCAAAAGTTTGTGGGGGGAGGATACTAAAAGAATAGCCCGGTGTCTGGATAGAAATATATTACGAGTTCTTTTTACAGGAACCTGGCAAATGATCCCAATAGCACCTGGGGTGGGCAGGATGGTTACCGATTCAACTGAGGGAAGGATGGAGGGTGAGAATTCAGATATAACGCGACAACAATCCTTACAAAGCTCAAGGTAACGGAATCTGGAAATTCACTGTTTATTCATTCTAATAGCCAATTATTTCTGATTCATTTTATCTGAAATCAAGCCATTTGTGCTGGATGGGAAAACAATCAGACTACTGTAAGCCACAATTATCCATTTGCAGATACCAGATATCCTAGGCCTAATATAGGCTAATCCTGTGCATCATTCCTACGAGAATGTGAGTCTATCGGAGCCTCCAAATGCCACTCTTCATGACTCTGCACAACTATGTTTGATTCAAGGATCCTTATCTTCTGTCGGTGAGTACTTCTATCAATCAGAGCCCAATGGAGGCAAGAGGCGCTCGCGAGCTTCAGCTATCTGATCTACTAAGTTCCCCTCTCTCAAAACAGCTTTCATGCTTTTTGATGTGGAACTTGGTTTTGACATTTGTTAGTTTGATTAAATGCTTTCGCGAAGGTTGCTTGCGTAGTTGGATCAAAGTCATTGTGTAGATTTGCTGATGAAATGAGTTTTAATTATAACATTTGGTAGTTTGATGAAAAGGGTTAACTGCACATAGACCCCCTGCAGTTAAAGTGGCTTCGAACTTACTGACCCTGCAGTTGGGTTAAAACTTTTGGATTACTTCACGTTCAAGACTCACTAGTTTCACTCAGGGGGTATATCTGCTAAAATTTCACTAAGGGTAAGAGAATCGAAAAAAATTAGACACTGGGGTCTATTTTCAGCAATGAAGCTACGAGGATGGTAAGTTCAAAAGAGCTACACTGCAAGAATCTGTGCAATTGTGATACTGCAAGAACCTATATGCAATAACCCTTACAAAGTATTGCTTGCTCGGATCAAGTTTGTTACGAGTACTTCAAGATCTATTGAGAACTTTTGTAATACACACACGTCACTGTAACAGTCTGTGTCAATGCATATTGTATTACCATGCTTTTGTAATTACAGTAATCCACTAGTGTAGCTTGCACAAGTTTTCCTTAACAAAATAGCAGCCGTCACCATGAATCTTACTCAAGTCCTATGCTCGAAAATGACACAGCAGAGATCTGATACTTTGAAATGCTGATTCCGTAGCTTATTTAGCCTTCCAGTCTCATCAACAAATGAGTATACCAATCTCACAATTTCTCCGGTGTAGTAACCTGTCATAAAGAAAATTTCACAGTGTATCTGTTTTGAAATTTTGCTAGGCATCTGGTAAGGGTTAACCGCAGATAGACCTCCCGGATTAATGTAGTTCTGAACTTAATACCCCTCTAGTTCTATTTTTAACTCTATTACCCTCAGTTCTATTTGACAAAAAACCAAATTTCTCTTTATGAGGGTAAGAGTCAAAATTTCACTCAGTGGGCCTATCTGCAAAAAGAAAACTGGAGGCTTAGTATGTTGGAAACAGCGATACAACAAGGGGTCTATTCACAATACATAATGTAGAGGGGTAGTAAGTTTGGATTTTCTAGACTTCTGGTAATGTAGAGTACCGCTGCCCAAGAATTTGTATCAACTCCACCTTTTATCGATAAGCTCGGCAGACAACCAAAATAATTCGCTGTCGATGTCAAATAGGCAATTGAAATGAGTACATCATTATCTATGAACAAAACCCATATCATATCTGCGAAAGAAAAATTCGTGCTTACCTTATTATCTAAGCACCCAAAGCTTGAACAAACCTGAGTACATAGTCGCTCGCTTGGGCAGAGCAGACAGTTTCAGCACAAGGAGTTTAATCATGAGGAAATGCACAAGTGAAATTCTCTATACTCCCATGGTTATAATACTAATCAGCAATAGACACGAAAATTTTCCATCATGCTGGCATACTGCTAATGGATCAATACCAAATCACACAGGCTCCATTGATACTAGAGCAACCATAAAGGAAGATCGATGGATAACGAGTTTAAATACAAAGCCTCAGTGTAATGAATAATACAACCACATTGCTCAAGTTATAATAACATCTCCCTAGAAAAAAGAACGCATATCCTTACTCCCAATTAGTGTTTACTAACACTAATCTCAGTAACACCAAACCGCTAATTAGGAAAAATTCATGAAATTACGATAAAATGCTGCTATACCATATACCCCGAACCCTACATCTGCTCAAAATTATCAAGCTCACTATTCATTATAGATACAGGAACATTCTTTCCCCCCATTCCAATCTTTTATTACAGAAATCTAGCAATGATTCCCCATTTAAGATCGGCATCCATCCAGGCCTAGCCAAGCAGTGAACCACTTGCAAACGTCATCCATCTCTTGAGGAACAGTGTAGTGTCCAAGACTGCATGTTTCCAATTTTTTTTTTGGGATATGTTAGAAGATAATTCTTCAAGTTAGAAACATAAGAAGGAATATGGGAAGCAGACACACACCCATTATAAGGTTTGAAAGTGAGATTCCGGTATCCAGATGATCTTAAGATCTCGGCAGATTTCTCACCATGTTTGTAAAGGACGACATCATCCCCTGAGAAGATTTTAAAGAAAACAAATGACCAACAAATAAAATAGAATGGTATAAACTTGCAGAAATCATACTTGCATTTATTACTAATTTCATATCTATTATCAGTAAGGGTATTCTTGTGATTAAGGGTAAAAAAATAGAAAAGAAAATGGTCAAATGTGCTTGATTGAGAGGGAAAGGCCATTGAAATGTGGTCTCTGCATATTGACAATCAAAGGTGGTTCCTATATAACCACCCTGTTTTAGTGGGTTTCATGAAAAATCCCTAAAAATAACTAATTTCTTCTGCACCATACGATCTTATAAGACTATAGTATATGCATTTCTACATGCCATAGAATGAATGGGATCAAACTCAACATGCCGATTAAGTGTTCTATCAAATAAACTACATAACAATCAAGTGCACAACATCAAAACTATTATGAAATATGAAAAAATAAAAAAATAAAAAACTCACATTCACAGCTGCCTTTCTGCTGCAGCTCAATTAAAGCTTAATGCACATGCGAATTCTAATATATTTAGCTTATTACAAAAGGCAAATTTCTTAAAGTCGCCCTAATGCCTTGGGGAATTTCCCTAAAAAAAACCCAAGACTTTTGAGAAATGCTTTAATACTTTGTTTTTCCTACTAAACACCAAAAACATTTGCCACATAACCTCCAAAATGACCAAAATGCCCCCCATGCCAAAAAAAAAACCTCTTCTTTGTGGCAAAATAAACACTTACATTAATTTAAAAAGGTGAAAATGCATATCCAGGCTCTCAGTTTCTGATACAGGGTGAAATTTCAAATCAATGGCATTTTTAGTAGTTTTTTTCCTAAATTTTTCCTCATAAAATTTCTCCCTAATCCACATTTCAAGGGATAAGGTAGGTAAGAGATCTTTCACACCTAGAAATATTGCAAATAAAGTAAATTTCTAGGAGTGTTTACGAATTAAAGACATCATTATGAAGCATATAACATTATTTGGGGGGATGGATAGAATTCTATAATTAATTTGTTACGTTGATCTTCTACTAGATTTCTTTTTTTCTTTTTTTATCTTTTCTTTCAAAAGTTTTAACCGATAGCATTGTAGTAATTTTTTTTCCTAAAATATTCTCCTTCCTGAAATTCTGCAACAATAAATAGTTTAATGGGTATAACTTAATAACCTTGGGTGTCAAACTAGGTGTTGAAGGACTTCAACTGTCAAATCTTTGTTTCATGTTTTCTTATGTATTAATATCCTTACAAAATGAAAGGAAACTTAATTTCATATGTTACTATCCAACAGATATTGTAAAGGCTCTGAGCAAATGTTATTGCCCATGGATCACTAGTGTCTCATTTACTGATATCCTTGCGAATCTACAGCATTGACGTTACGTTTATCCAATTAAGGATTAGAGAGAGACATTATGTATGATTATTTCACTTATTGAAATTAACCTGATTCTTTTGCACAAACAATTCATGCATGGAAAATTGCCTTTACCTTTATAGTAGTGCAGTAAGTATGATTATTTCAGCTGTAGAGGTGTGACCCTATATAGTATATTATCTGATCTGAGAAAATAATCAGTTTCTAGAATGAAACTTTGAGATAAACTCTAATCCAGAATGACCTCCTTCCTAATGGAGCCAGTTACCAAGGTGGAATTAGAGAAGCCAAATTATATCATGTTCGCTAAGTACTTCATGTATAACTTTTATGTGTTTATGTGAATTGATACTAAGCTACAAGATTATGACGTAAAATCGATTAAAAAAGACTAAATTAGGAGGAAAAAAAAAGTATTGTAGCTTAGTTGTATGTGTTCATTAAGAGAGACCTCTTCCATGGCACATCAAAACTGGCAAGGAAGCAGCTCGTCGAATAGCATCTTGTGAACTTTCCACCTTGCTCCTCAAGCTCCTAGAAACCATAGGCAATGTAAACATATGATTTGGCATAAAACAAAGAAAAGAAAAGAACATGTTGTCATTGATGAAAATTTATATAGGACAAACCTAGAGCAAGGAAGCCAACCACTTAAACCAACAACAGCACTTATGTTAACTGGATATGGATTGCCATTTCCGAATCTCCCATATGTGCAGCAAGCGGCAGAATACAGTGCCATTGCAGCACCCATACTGAAGCCACCAACGCCAACCTTGACTGTAGTAATCAATAATTGAATTTTAAGGGAAAAATCAATATGATAAGCTCATGAGATAGAGAATCAAATTTGATTACTCAGGTATAATTCCAAGCATTACTATATCAACATTAATCATCAATATTTTACAAGTAGATGCCAGGGATGTAATTCAAATTGGATTTCTGATTTGTGCCTTTGAAGGACTGTATTTACTATAACAAATCCTTTTTAGTCTCGTCAATGATAATGATACTTCATCTCTTCATATAGAATTTCCTCAGGCTATGGGAATCTGGAACCTAAGCTGTAAAAAATTGTAAACTTTGAAATCTTCTCCCTTATATGGTCAGTAAAATATTCATGTGTGCCATTTTAACCACAACTTGCTGAAGTGTTTCTATGTCCAAATGAATAAATAATCTTCCTCAGGTGGACTTCCTATTAGATGACTTTCTACTTCCAAACTTTTATGAAATCGGAGTCATTTTTCAAGAAATTATAAGTATATATAATGCAGAATTTTTTTTAATAAACTAGTTAACCAATTTATGATATTCTAATGAGACATACTATCAACAGGCTCAGTCGACAAAAGATTTGCAATATGTGCTGCTGAAGCGTCCATTCCTTCAACATCATCAGGACCCTCCTCTGAGAGTTCCCCAACATCAAACCCTAATATGGAAAGAGAAATATATTATTATGGTTTCGTTTGGTTACACAAACATACTTTAATGCTGATTTTTAAATGAACTTACAAGCAGTGCAAGGGAAACCACCAAAAACTGCAACAGGCCTAGTTGGAGCAGTGGGGCATATCCATTTAATCTGAAAAAAGAATAACACCGATGAAATTAATCTAACAAAATCTATGCTAACTTCAATAGTCGAAGATATTAAGAGTTTCCTTATGACAACACAAGATGAACGGGAATTACAGCATAGGATACAATTACAAATTTACAGCCAAATACGAAATAGAATTGCACTACAAGATTCATTAGCATAAAGCAAACGGTGATTCAAGATGGAATTTATTCTTATGCTTACGTTCGGAAGAGGAAGTGTTTCCAAGATTTGGGACCAGCTGCGAAAAGAGAAGAAAGAAAGAAATTAGTATATTTTTCTTTGATTTTTCTGACAACAATTGGAGTATTAAGTTGTAGATGCTAATTAAGGTTCAAAAAGTTCTAAATAATAGAGTTCAAGCATCGCTCATGCAACTAATACTCATGAACAATTTGCAGCACACGAGAATGAATTTTCACACCATATCGAGGAGTGGTAAGTAGCACATTGAAAAGCTCTTAACCAGCAACTTGCGTGAATTTGAAGTAAAGACGAGAGTTAAGATAATTGTCTTTAAACTTTAATTTATCCTAGTTGTTGAGATGAGCTATAGTCATACGAGAAATGTCCAGGTAGTGTAAAGTTTTAGCCTGTCTAGCCTAAGTATAACACTAGTGGGACGAACAGACGAATTTTTTGCACATGCAACCTTTCATACCAAAATAATTTTTCTGAAAATTAAAGGTTTGCTAAGTTGGGGAAAAAAAATTCTGCCACTAGATTCTAACAAGAATTATGCAGAATTTAAATTTACAGAAGGGATAGGAAAAGCTTCACATGGTTTAATATACATGAGAGCAACATGATATAATTTACATGATCAAGTTCAAAAAGTGTATTTATTTTTCTTCAAGTAACATGAAAATAGTTGCGAAATAAAATTTATGGAATGACTTTAGTATATACACTCTTGATATATCAGGAGGAAAAAAAAATCTAATTCTTTACATTGGTATAGGGAATGATATTGAATACGTAGGGAAGAACCATTGGTTCGAAAGAAGAACCTTGGTTGAGTGTAGTATAATACAGTCATACCATGAGAAAAAGATACTATGCAGTAGAAACAAGATATCTTGGTATCTTAGTAAGTAAACATGCTAAGATAGTGAACAAGTGGTCCATGCATGAAGCCTCAAAGCATATCCCCTTTTTAAGTTGGTGACAGTCCATATCCATAAACTCCATCAAAAGAAGGGAAAGGCGATGAAAGTGAAAACTACTATGATTTGTTTTATTATGTTTACGGTTGGGGTGTTTCCAATCCAATTGAGTTGAAGGAGAATCTTTCACAATCAAGACAGATTGCAAAAGAGAACACTCTGCTTGTTTTATTTATTAACAACTAGGGAACACTCTCCAATTAAGAAAAGAAGAATATGAATCTTACTTGAATCAAATAGTATTGCTATAATATTAACTGTCAACAGCTCATTGACATTCTCTGCCTACTTTCTTTCCCTCCCACATCAGTACAGGCTTAGGGTAAGAGGATAACAGTAGAGCCTCTAATCATTTAGGCGAAAGTAATACTAGGAATAAATCTCGGGAAAGAATGAGAATAGAACCAACTCAATAATCATTTCAAGTAAAGAATGGAATAAAGTGAGACACGATTACAATAATGGAAAAAATCTTCAACACTCCACTATAGCCATCTATCCTAAGCAACTGTTCACGTGTCCAAGAGCTGCCATGAAAAAGCTTGAAGATTAGCAAGCAAGCATCCCTAACTTACACTTAGATACTACAATCAACTCAATATTGAATAGAAAAGTTTATGTATAAAATGTTCATTTACCAACCAAACAAAAATCATTCGATAATGAAATTGTTTAAGGGTTTTTTTTTTAATAAATACCTCGACCCGTTATCTCCTAGCCCGTGAAGCCAGACAATAGTGACCTGATGTCTTCCCTTAGGCCTCACTACATGGGTTCTTCCAAATTCAACTGGCCTCCTTGTAGTCCTAGCACCTGTGTTAATTTTATCCAAATTCAATACAAATACATAAAAATATACAAATTTTTTGATAAAATCCAGAAAAGGGATTGTTACCTGAAGCAAGAGAGCTGCTCCCATAGCTCATTTTGTTGCTAAACACAAACAAAAGAGACCCTCAAATCTTACGCTAGCCTTTGCTTTTCACAACTGCAATGCAAATGCAATGGATGGCTTATTTCTGAAACAAAGAAGCACACAAGTGACCTATTTATAGAAACTTGCGAGCCAAAAAGAGGGAAAATTAAGAACCCATGATTCCAAATCCACTAATTGCTAATAAAGAGTAATTAAAATCTAGTAGAAAGGCAGACAAGAAGAACCTCAATAGGGAAAGCAAAGGAGCTTTCCTTTTCCTTTCAAGCAAGAGAATCTATCAAAAGGAAGAAAACCCAATATCAATGCATGAACCGTTGAGCTAATAAGACACAGAACCAAGAATTGATGCTCTTTTTTTTTCTTTTTTTTTCTTTTTTTTGCAGTGGAGAGAGAACCAAGAGCGACCCAAGAATAATTTCCAACAATAATAACAACAATAACTCCCTAAGTAACCTACCCAATTCCTAACTTTGGATTTTTTTTCTTCTGGATGCTTCAAAGAATATTAATCCCATCAGTGATAAATTGGTAAAGAATGCATCACAGCTATACTAAACATAAATAAACACTAAATTGACAATAAATATAACTAAAATAAAGAGATGTGAAATGGGTTTTGTCATCTTTTTTCTTTCCTTGTGTGTGTACTACAAGGAACCAACTTGAAACTGAGAAAGGAAAAAAGCTTGTAAACTTTTTTTCTCTATAATGTTCAAAGATTCTGAACTAAAGAGATGTGAGCAATGATCTCATAAGCAATAAATTGGTACAGAGATGTGAAATGGCCAAATGGGCTGTTAAAATATGAGAAAACTGACCTGAAATTGAGGGGGGAAAAGATTGTAACTTTTTTTTTTTTTACTTCTCAAAGTTTGCAGATTCTTTACTTGACCCCTCAATTCTCGGCCTTTTATTCTCCTGAAATATTCTTTGTGTTGGGTTGAGGATTGATTATTAGGAGAGATGGCATTGGCCTTGGGAAGAGGCCAGTTCATGATGAGAGGCTTGAAAATGTATCCAAAGTGAAGTCACATGCCTTCAGAATTTTATCAGGATGCAGAGTTTACTGACCTGAAGTGGACAAAACGTAAAATTTCGAAAATGACACTGATTGTATGATACCCATTATGATTTTTTTTTCTTCTCAAATCTGACGACTAAGAGCTTGGAATTTGATCAGAGATTGTTATGAGGACAAAGAGGAAGGCGTGGGTATCTTTTGACGTATGGATCCGTGCAAAGGAGGATGACATAATCAAATACAATGAGTACAGTCTGAGAAGGGTTTTGTTCAATAATAATGGAGAAATTACAAGAAAGTAAAGTAATGGTAGAATTTATGAGGTTTCAATCAAATCAAAAGAAAGTTTTCAATTTATGTTTCATTGCAATAGGACCGCCCTTACTCCTTGATAGTCTTGCCTCGAATCTTCCACAATTGGACTATCTTTTTATCACGGAAAAAAATAAATATTCTAATTGTTAAATTCTCACTATAGGTGAAATTAACGAGTCTATCTGAGATGAAGAGTAAAAAAAAAATTTACTCAGAGGGTTTATCTATAACAATGCAACTATAGTAAGTTCAAAACAGCGATACTATAGGAGATTTATGTGCAACAAGCCCTTTTATAAGTTATCAATATAATTATAACTACAATTTTTTATTGGATCAAACATAATCAGAATTAATTGTCACTATATTTGTAAATTGAAAATTCAAGCCAAACATACTAATTTTTTCCGATCCGCTCCGTTGAACTTGATCTACACATTCTTAAACCCAAACACACCAATTTTGGGGTGAACTCGTCGTGTTTTGACCCTTCGTTGAGCCGTGCAAAAAGTTCTATTCATTCGAAACCGTTAAAATTACGGTGAGTGGATGAAGGGTCAAAACACGACGGGTTCAAGGATGCGACCTAGAATCACATCATTTTCTAAATTTTTTTTACGATCCGCTCCGTTGAACTTGATCTACATATTCTTAAACCCAAACACACCAATTTTGGGGTGAACCCGTCGTGTTTTGACCCTTCATCCACTCGCCACAAATTTAACGGTTTTGAATGAATAGAACTTTTTGCACGGCTCAATGAAGGGTAAAAACACGACGGATCCACCTCAAAATTGGTGTGTTTGGGTTTAAGAACGTATAGATCAAGTTTAACAGAGCGGATCGCAGAAAAAATTTAGAGAATGACGTGATTTTAGGCCGCGTCCTTAGGTGGGAGCCTAGGGTGTCACCTTAGATTCACTTTTCCCATATATATATATATATATATATATATATATATATATATAGTACTATAATATAGTATGGAGAAAATGTTCGATAGAAGTGTTCCTAAGGTGACTTCTTAGATAATCATCTAAAAACGCGGCCTAAAATCACATGATTGAGCTACATTGTGGATGATCCGCTCCGTTGAATTTGATCTATATATTCTAAAACCCCAGGTTCTAATTAAGGCTAAATTCAGAAAGAGCAAGAACAAATTGGAATCTTAAAAACGTGACGATAATATAACTTAGGATCACATTCACATTGAATGGATGGGGAGAGATTGCGCGTTTGATCAGTGAAGGCCAAGCCATTCTTGAGCTAGATACCTCAAGTTCTAATTAAGGCTCGCGCCTAATTCCATAAAAACCTAATCCCCTTTATTTTCCTCTTGCACATAATTTCATGGCCACGAGTATTCATGCACGTGTTTTATCATAAAGTCGTAATCTCCTTTATATGCCTATCAATACACCTGCCATGATTCTTTAAGTAATCGATTGAGGCAAGTTCTCTAGAGAATTTATGAACTGGAGAATTTACACCTGCAATGATTCCATATTCTAAAAATCTAAATCACCTTGAAATGATTTAAATTGATACTTGGATACTTCTTGACTGCGATGGCAAACTTTATTTCTATTAGAAGGAAATTCTTTTGTTTTTTATTATCACAGACGTGCAATAAATCGTTGTTCTTTTTTTTCCCCTTTCGTCCTACTCTGCTGGCAAATGCATTTTCTTCTATATATCCGCATCTCTCTCCACTATATATCTATCAAAATGATTATGAAAATATTCCGAAATATATGCAAGAGAGCAACATCAAGAACACAACCTCACAAGAGTACACTCGATCTCACGAAACTGCATAAACATATTTCACCCTTCACTGCATCAATCAATAACACGAAGGCATCTCTTGAAACAGAAATAAGGACTTCGAAAACAAAATAGATCACAAACGTATGCAAGAGGAATCGCTTTGCAATATTTCTTTCCTTTTTCCCTTTTCCCTTTTCCCACTCTTTGCTAGCAAAAGTTATTTCACTTTGGAATAGCCATCTAATTTTTCGAATACGTATCTATCAAAATCGTCACCAAAAGAAATTCGCATACTATTTCACGTACATGAACGTTAATTGTTTCTCATTTCCGTAACTTCCAGTAAGACTTGGCAAATTTTATTTATTTATTTGTTGGGTAGTTGGACATATATATGTTATTAATTCCAACTATACCGAACATTATTTATTATATATATATATATATAGTATATTATATATATAATATTATATATATACTATATAATATATATAATATATATATATGGAAAAGTGAATCTAATGTGACACCCTAGGCTCCCACCTAAAGGATAGCGGTCTAGAACTCACATCATAAAATTTCCTAAAAAAATTTGCGCATCCACCCGTTGAACTTGATCTTACACGTTCTTAACCCAAACCACACCAACTTTGGGCGTGAACCCGTTGCTGTTTTGACCCTTTATCCATTCGATATAATTTTAACGGTGTTCGAATGAATAGAACTTTTTGCATGGCTCAACGAATGGCAAACACGAAATGGTTCATCCCAAAATTGCGCTGTATTTGGCTTAAAAACGTGTAGATCAAGTTCAACGGAGGCCAGATCACAAAACTTTTTTTAGTAAAATGATGTGATTCTTTATAGGCCGCGTCGCGTTAGGGTGGGAGCCTAGGGGCCACCTTAATTCACTTTTCCATATTATATTTTATATATATATATATATATATATATATTATACTATATATATATATATATATATATATATATATATATATTGAATAACTGATAGACCCAAGTGGAGAGCTTGACTTGACCATCTTGCATGAGGATAAAAAGAACGATCCGTGTTGATAGAGAACAACGTGTTTATGAAAGTGGCAAATTGAAGTTTTTCCTCCATTAGCAAGAAAAGTTCTCCCCCTTTTAGAAATTCCAACTTTACTTGATTGTAGAAGTTGTAGGTTGGAACCCTACACTTGTTAGCTCACAAGAGACAAAAAAAAATAATAAAACATGGTCAAATTTTCCCTGTTCACTAGCTAGTCCTCTTTTCAGGGAATACTCACAACTTGCATCCAATTAAGCCTGTCAACCCATTGTTAAACAGAGGGAATCATTTCATTAGAATAAGAAGCCCCTGGTTTTATTAGTTTATACACTGAGTTGGTGGAAGACAACCGGTCGCTATAATACGCCAATGTTTATGATGGTTTAGACTTAACGTTGTTTGATTATAAGCAGCTTGAAGGGTTTAATGCGAAGAGAAAGAATTTTGATGTGTCAACTAGTTATGTACTTAGGCTAAATGCTTGCTTTTCGTAGATTAGGCCATGCTACTGGGCTATAGGTTCAGGAGCGACCAACACGTGGGGTCTTTGCTATCCATAGAGCCCACGTATCACGTGGCAATTAGTGAAAGTATCAGATACCCGTTGCGGGTGATCCAAACGGTTGAGAGGCTTTAATATAGCTTTCATGGTCTTGAGTTTCGATTCGGATTGGGTTATCAAATTTTAAAAAGTAAGTATGAAATAAATGACGTATAGTTCAGCTATTTTTAGTTATATTCTAGCAACCTTTCATGGATGATATTGGGAAAAGAGGTAGGAAAAGAAAAAAAAATAGAAAAAGAATTAAAAAGAAAAAGATATTATCTTTTTTGAGTTGAAAAAGGAAGAGATAGTTGAAGGGAGAAAGCAAAGCAAGCACTTGAGATATATGTAAAAAATTTTGTTTCGCTTACTCTATCTGGATAAGGAAGCGTTTCAATAAAGGACTTGAGTTAATTGCCGACTACTTAACTCTCCAACGTCTGAATTGCCGCAATTTATTGTGCAAACGATCAGGAATAGAATATTGGATTGACTTGTGAAAAAAAATAATTTAAGGATAAAATTATATTTAAAAGAAAAAGGTAAGTTATCGTTTGAACGCAATACTTGTTAAAGTTTTTAAAGTAGCTTATTTCAATTACAGTGAAAGATGAGCGTGGAGACTAACTTGAGGCGGATTTTTTAAACGATGGGCTTGATAATATATACCATGTAACATAATTTTATAATATTTTGACCCTCCTTTAATCTTTTCCCCCTTTGTCAAATAGAATTATCAGAATAAACTCCTATTAGTGGAAGGCATATTTTTTTTCTTAAGTAAGATTTCTACATTGTTCCCTCAGTTCATTCATTGGACGATCAAGTCAATGGCAGTTGTCTTGATTTTGTATTAAAAAGAGGAGCCTTGTAGAACCCGAGCTTCTTAGTGCTAATCCTAATCTCAACTCTTAACTCCATCAAGGATCAACGAAAGGAAAAGCAAAATGGGAGACACAAACACGAGAGAGAGAAAATGTATGTGCTGATAGCCCATTTTGCAAATATGGGCTGATAGTTCAATGTCATGTAAACCCCTTGCTAATCACAACAAGGTGGGGTTCACATAGCAGTGAGCTGACAGCTCATTTTACTAACACATACCCAGTATCCTCATATATACACAGCGCGCACACACAAATATTTATCTTCCAAAAGGGATGGGAAACCGATACAATATCTACTCAAAGAACCCCACAGTTCTGCTTGTTACTGATATCATTAAATTGTTTTAAGCTTATAGTTTGGGGATTCACTTTGGACAGATGTCACCCTGAAGATGAATCCAACTTGCAAATTTGTAGAATTTATAATTTATTGATATCTTCTTGTAATGTGAATTCACTGAATTGCGCCAATAAAATATGAAATTATGAGGTATATCACTGTTAAAAAAAATTGTCCTAGTAGACCACAACAAGAATCTAGTTCAGGCTTTTCGATCTAGCCAAGTTAGATAAGTACGAACCCAGAAACAGGTGAAAAAGAGTAAAACCATAGTGGGGAACTTACAGGTGTAAAATGAGAGAAGGGGCTCGTTACAGGGAGATCCAGATAAATTACAGAACCATGACAATTACAAATGCAGAAGGGCTTAGCAAGGTCGAAGAAAAGAATACAATGAGAAAACCTGCTGATCTCCAAACCTTCATTTCTCACAGCAAATGTAGTATCAACCAATTGCAAATCGACTCTTTCTAGTTCTGTTTATGCAAAAAGACCCCCTGAGTGAACTTTTTTTTTCGACTCTAAGCTACTAAAAAGGTTTGAGAAGCAGATAGACACCCCACGGTTCTATCAGTAAGGATATACTCACAATTGGTTTTTTTTATTAATTTGAAAAAAGTCAAAAAAGTTCACTTACACTTTGTTTGGTAGGGGGTTTTACGAGGGAAGGTGAGGTGACGGGAAGTGCAATGAGATAAAGGGGGTGGACATCCCTTTTTAAGTCTTTATGTTTGGTTGGAGGGGAGAGGAGGAGGTATGCATGCTTTCGTAGTTCATTTGTTTCTCTCCTCTTGAATCCTCCCAATTTGAAGGGATTCTTCTCTCTCTAACTTTTTAGTTCATCTTGTGGTGTTCCCTCCCTCCCCTTGCTATACCTCCCCATCTTAAAACTCCTTACAAAAAGCAAATCTAATTTTTGTCTCTGCCGTCCCGTCCCCTTCCCTCCTACCAAACCAAGCCTCCCCTTCCCTCCTACCAAACCAAGCCTTAGGGGGTGCATTCACCAACACTACTTGGGCCAATACTATTGGGGTTTAATTCGTAACAAATAGAACTACAAGGGGTCTATGTGCAATTGGGTGACACTCCAAGGGTTTATTAGCAATTAACCCTAAATCCAACAAGGACAGAAGAAATAAAAGTTAAGTTGCATAAATAATTTCCTGGACCACATAAGAAACAACCTATATTTTAAGGTTGCAGCTATTCATTCATCAAAAATAAAAATAGTAAGTTGTAACCATATAAGAAAGTATTATAGACAGCAGAAGCACATACCATGGGAACAAAATACCACCGCACGCAAAGCAACCAGATGCAGGACATAACTATGGACTACTAGAAATGTAAACTCATACAGATGAGTGACCCTCTGCATGCGTCTTTCAATTCTAGAACAGAAGAAGATAGAAGCATAAGTGCATGCTTGAAATGTTGAAAAAGAACCTTAGTTGAGATTCTTGCCATAAAGGAACACGAGAAAACAGGATTAATGTGGCCGTCAATTATTTGATAATGCATTGACAAGCCTGAAAGAATTCAAATGTCAAAGCAGAGGCCTAAAGACATCTAGGCAAAAAACTGTTGGTCATACACGAGCGAGAAAATTGATGAACTAAAATATCCAAAAGCTGTTTGAAGCTGCATTTAACAGAACCAGTGCCCTCACCAAGTTTTATTTTCAAAAAAGACCGTACAGCCTCAGTGATGATGATCATCATCATGTCCATCCGGGTCGCCTCCGTCGCCAATAACCTCAAGCTGTTATGCGAGACAAAATAAAAGGAAAGAAGGTTATCAAGACAGCAAACTTATTTCACCTGATTATAGAAACTGAGAATCAAGCGGTCAAACTCACCACAAAGTACTGGGAGCACACAGGACATTCATGTGGCTTGTCCTTTTCCAACCAGAACCAGACAACATCATGTTCATCCTCTGCACACAAATGAAGATACCAAACGCACTTAGGAATCTATATGGAACCTATTCAGCTGGAATAGTAACACTACAACATAAAAATGTTTGCTCAAGTCCACAAGATTGGATATGATATATTGCTAGGAATGAAATTACTTCATCTGCATCTTTGCATGGCAAAAGTGACCTGCACAGCTATAAATGTTTTTAAAAGATGAAAAGAATTAGAAGTTAGAGACCATATCAACTTACCGCCTTCACCCCCAGGACAACCAACTATTCTTTTGTTGTAGTAGGACTGGATGACAGCAGGTGCTTCCTACAAATATCCCAACAAGAAAATTATGCAATGATCTATATATGCATCCAGTATAGTTATCACATGAACACTTACAATTCCAAAATCAGCATGCAAAAGGAAATTCAACTCTCTCAAAACAAGGCATGAAAAGCTCTCTACAAATGAAAGGGGAAAACACATGAAAAGCTATGTTCTTAATTAACCCAAAATAATACATGAAAAGTTCTATATCCTATGAAAGGATGAGAGTTTAAAAGCACTTCTGAAATCAAAAGAAACAAAGCAGAAGCATAATCCTGAAAGAAATTCAGAAACAGACATGTAAATGGATAGCATTGGCATCATGAAGTTAGTGTGCAAAAGTAGCCCTTCCTGACATAAGAAGAATACAATTACCTAAACTAGGATATGAGAAAGCAACTCGCATATGAAAATTTATAAGGAAACCAGCTAAAACACGTAGTCACATACACATTCACATATGTCCAAGCAACATGAAATTATTCATAAGCAAAATGAATATAGAATGATGCTTCCATAAAGAAAATAAACCGACAGATTTACAAGACTTTGGAAAATGACAAGTCGAAACCTAACCCAAAAAAATCCTCAACAAGTAAAGGTCAAATATACAGCTGTATATCATCACCTGCAAACTGCCAGAATTTTTTTCAAGAAAATAAAGACGAGCAAATTGACTGAGAAAACCAAAGTCATCAATCATAACACAGGAATAGTGAGAAACTATATCTGTATTCTATGAGGTTATGCTTGTGAATCCTCTTCCTTAGGGAATGATGATCAACCCACCTGGCATTTCCGAGAGAAGAGCCTGAAGTGTCACGTCCTTCAACTATGTATAACTTATGCAGTCTTCGGTCTAAATAGCATAAACATTAAATAGTATAATCGTTATTCATATCATCACTAACTCTAATGAAGTATCAACCTCTAGAAAACAATTTAGCTTTATTCTAATGGGCACAAAAATAGATGGAAAGTTTTGCCCAATTGAGTAACCATCCACCAGTGGTATGAGCCAGGCCCTAGCTAAATTAGCCCAATACCTTATCTGAGCTCCCATACGGTCGTACATGTGGCCAACAATTCGCGTGCCCGTACACAACTACAACGCGCCTTGGGCACTCCTTAAATATATGCATACATTTATTTAGATATATACTCAATTATGTAACACACATTTTAGTTCAAACCACTTATTATACACTTTTTGGGCGTGTATCTTACACTTCACATCCACTTCCTACAACTTGTTGGACACAGGTCAGTTCATTTCAACTCATGCCCAATTCAGAAGTATAATTTTAAAGGGAAATTTAGATATCTAGTTAAAAGATAAGCAGGTTTCCAATTTATAACTCATATAACAAAGAAAACATATAATTTCAGTTATCATAGCATGTAAATGAAAAACAATATTGATATTATCAACATGTGTATATATATACATGGCCGCATCCCTATACCCTATGTTTACAGATTGTTCGTATCCCGCATCTGTGCACACGCAACATGGGTCCTTAGCAACTCAGTCACGGCCAGACATGAATTGGATTAAAATCGAATATCATGGATTCCGTATTTGTATTTGTTTAAGAAATTTTGAATTCGAATATCACTCTCTTAATTTCTTAGAATGCAAAAATGGATACAAACATTTTTTGGATATTCGTGAACATTTATTGAATACTACTATATATTTCTTTGATTAATAATCTATAGCCTATGAATATTAAATTATATAATTATAAAGATATAAGATATTTTTAATTGGTTAAAGAAATTTGGTTCAAAAATTGACATGAGGCTCTTTATGTTTGTCAAAATTAGCATAGAAAAATTACAAAATACAAATGGATAAAAAACATAACATAATGCATGTAATAACACAAATTACAAGGGATGAAACTCTAAACAAATATTTGATAATCAAACAAAATCAAGGGTTAATTGTGAATAGACCGCCTGTAATATCACCAAATGGTAAAAAGACCCCTTGGAGTTCTATTTATTGCAAACACACCCCTTGTAGTTTTAGTTGTTGCAAATAGACCCCCTGAGCAAAAACTTTTTTTACTTGAGGACATGGGTAGACCTATAGTTTTATTGGTGAGGATAGACACCCCAATTGCTACTTTTTTGAATTTTAAAAGAGTTGGAAAAGTTCGCTAAGGGGTGTATTCGCACTTGGGCCAATACTACAGGGGGTTTGTTCACAACAAGTAGAACTATAGAGGACCTATTCGCAATAAATAGAACTTCATGTGGTCTCTTTACAATTGGGTGATACTATAGGGGGTCTGTAGGCGTCAAAAAATGCTGAAAGAAATCCAAACACAGCTCAAAAGGAAGTCATCCAAAATGTCAAAAAGAACACAAGTATAGACTGTCTCGCATGCGAGACAGTCTTTACTGTCTCGCACGCGAGATAGACTTGACTGTCTCGCATCTCGCACGCGAGATAGACTTGACTATCTCGCCATGCGAGACAGACTTTTACTGTCTCGCTCACGCGAGACAGTCTTTACTGTCTCACCGTGCGAGACAGAATTTACTGTCTCGCACGTGAGACAGCTCTCAGAGGCCCAAAACTACTTTGCATAACCGCCAACACGTGGTCACTAACTGTTCAAGAACGTGGGAAACGTTGTGGGCGAGAATCACGTTGATAACTGCCAAAATAACAGAGTTTGAAACGTGGGAAGACAGTTACAATGAAAACTGCCTGTATGACAAATACTCCTCAAACTTCGCTTGGTCGAACTCGTACTCGACCGTTGATTCAACCGGGATCTTGATGGTTGGCTGCGACACGACGGTCTCGGCAGCGAGACCGTTGGCTCCCACTGTGGTCGCCAGTTTGTTTTCGTCAAAAGTTGGTTTTGATGTGGAATTTATTATATCTTCGGTCGATTACAAACAAATTCAAAAAAGAGATAGCCTTTTTATAAGACTCCTTTTACACAACAAAAGGAAAAATTACAACTCTTGAGAAACAAACGCAGGATCGTTGTTTGGATCGCTGCTTGCGTGAGATCTTTGCCTGTGCCGGGAGCGCTTCGACTCGTGGACCACCAAATCACAGATTCTGATTGAATCGTGAGGGGTTTAATGATTCTTCATTCGTTTATCGAAGTGAGAATTTAAAACGATATCTTATCAAAGTAAGATAGTCGTTCTTCTTGAAATCAAGTCAAAACTCGAATATCAAGGAATGGCCGGAAGCTCCAGAACTCTGCTCTGTCTACTCTGAAGTGCTCAAAATGATCAGCCCTTCTCAAAAATGGCCTTCGGGGGGTATTTATAACCCCTAGGAACAGTTGGCGAAAAACAAGCTCGCGAAACAGCATTTGCTGTCGAGACAGTAAACACTGTCTCGAAAAAGGAATATTCCTGACAGTTTTCGTTGTAACTGCCTTCCCACGTTTCAAACTCCGTTATTTTGACAGTTATCAACGTGATTCTCGACCACAACGTTTCCCACGTTCTTGAACAGTTAGTGACCACGTGTTGGCGGTTATGCAAAGTAGTTTTGGGCCTCTGAGAGCTGTCTCACGTGCAAGACAGTAAACACTATCTCGCACGGCGAGACAGTAAAGACTGTCTCGCACGGCGAGACAGTGAAGACTGTCTCGCGTGGGCGAGACAGTAAAAGTCTGTCTCGCCCTGCGAGACAGTAAAGACTGTCTCGCATGCGAGACAGTCTATACTTGTGTTCTTTTTGACATTTTGGATGACTTCCTTTTGAGCTGTGTTTGGATTCCTTTCAGTATTTTTTGACGCCTACAGGGTCTATTTGCAATTAACCCCAAAATCAAATATACATTTGGTTAACTTCTATTCGTGTATGAACCAAATATTGAAAACTATTGGTTTATTGTTAAATGAAACTACGGATCAAATATAACTAAATAGTTAGACAAACAAGTAATGAATTATTTGTTTATTATTTGGTTCATTTCTACCCCTTAGATCAGCCCAAATTAGCTTTTTAGGCAATTCAAAAGGCCTAGACAAACTTATTCGACTAATATTGTGAAAGGTAAAAGATGCTTGTATAAGTGAAGAAATACTAGAGACAACAAGCGTGATAACATATGAGTAAGGGTGTAATGAAGAGGAAATCCTGATATCAGAACCAAAAAATATTCAAGTGTCTGAAACTTCTTTAACATCCAACGGTTGAATAGATAGTATTTGTATCCAAATTTGAGGGATATTTTCGAATCAGATAACATTAGATCCACTAGAATATTCACAAAGTTAAAAAGAGTTTTAGGAAATGCGCAGGTCAAACTAAAAAACTTTGAATCTAGACTATACTATTACGAAGTTAACTAAGGAGCTGTCCACCTAGAGACCTTTGCAGTGAAAAAGGATTCACATAGATGACCATCAGTGTGTTGTAAATAGCGGCCAATAGCGGGGCTATAGCGGCGCGAATAGCGGTCGCGGCCCTTCAGCGCTACACGTAGGGGTTTCGTGGCTGACTTAAGCGGGAAAATCCGCTATTCATTCGAATAGCGCGTAAAAGCGGATTTTAGCGGGATAAAAGCGGGTTTTCGCGGTTAAAAGCGGGTTTTCACGGTTAAAAGCGGATTTTTGTTGTTAAAAGCGGCTAAACCCGCTATCACACATATTATGATGCTATATTTCTTGAATTTCTTCATAGTTTCATTCATACAACAAGCTTATTAATTGTTATTTATTGATAATACAAGAAATTTACAACTAATTGAATTTTTAGTTTTTTTTATGAATGTTCTTATTATTTAGGATATTTAAATATATTTAAATTTGACCGCTATTTGACTGTGCGCTATTTGCCGCGATTTCGCCGCAATAGCCCGATATAGCCTTAGCGGTACCTCGTCGCGACGCGCCGCGATCCGCTATCAGCAACCTTGATGACCATAATGAATACTAAAGCAGGGATTTGTAGCCTTTGACACCATGTGAATTAATGTGACCTTTGCACCATATGTATCATTTATATACAGTACTTTTCACAATGAATTCCCAAAGGATCAACCAAATTTGTCCTCAATAATTGAAATTTTATAGCTCACATTTGTTTAAAGAAAAAGTGCAATTTTATTGTATGATTGTAGTGATACAAAAGATATTACCCACTAGTTAAGGTTATATTTAAAACCATTATGTTAGAAAGGCTAAGATACAAAAGACTATGCACATACTGGATTCTTAAATTTAAGATTGCTATAAAAAGAATTTTAGAAAATCACACAGCAAACAAAAAAAATTTGGATCGAGACTATAATATTATTAGGTTTACTAAGGAGTAAGGAGATGCTCTCTTCGTAATCTTAGCGGAGAAAAATGATTTATATAGCCAACCAGAATGAATGCTAAAGCCGAGATTTGCCCCGTTGACAATACAAATATCAACTATAGCCAGTAGTTTTGATATTGAGTTCTTGGGGGAATTAATCTAACTTACTCTCATAGTTGTAACTTTCTTGCTGGTTTTTTTAAAGGGAATAAGCGATTGGAATTTTTTATGATTGTAGGGATACTGAAGATATTGTTGTTATCCACCTGCTTCTATGTGCATGCTACATTCTTAAATTTAAACTAACAGGGGGTCACTCTTATATTGATGTAACATGTTTTCCAAGAAGAAACAGATTACTGGGTATTCATTAAGCATAGACATAGCTTGAGATGTACCCAAGAATAGCTAAAAACAGTGTATACCTAGTGGCCAAGTGATACTTTCTATGACCTTGTGATGAAGTCCTATATTGCACGTTGCTTTTCATGATAGTGCCAACTACATATTTACAAAAATTCAAAAAATAAAAAGAAATGAAATAAACCTATCAAATGAAATGATAGCATTAAAGTGTACTTGTTAAAGAAAATGGTTGAGATCTGCTATTGCTACCAACCACAAAAAAAGTTCCTCAACTATTTCAGATATATGACTAGAGGAAATCGAAGACCCAGGATTTTAGGATGTGCTTGGTTAGAAGTAGTCAAAACAACAAATGCTTTACAACATGTTGTTCCCACTCCAGTTGCCAGAGCGCTTTTCAATTTGAACGCAATAGTAACTCACGTAGTTTAAGCCTGCTTTGTGTTTACAATAACCTTTTGGTATTGCAACATCATCCAACCAAACATCTATAATGCAATCTGGATGTAGTGGGAACAACATGGACCTCCAACCAATCACACCCTCATTTGGGATAAATTTCTTGTGCGGAGACCGTTGAGTTTCGTGACAAGAAGCCAGCATATCCAGATTAATTTTAATTGTATATAAGGGCAAGATATGAACTTACTCCCAATGCCTATAGTACTCTTGAGCTTCTATACAAACAACAAAGAAATTTATTCTACTTTTAAGGAAAACTAGCAACAAGAATACTCCGAGGATTCTTCAACGTCTAATTATCCTTCAAACACAACAAATAGAGATGCCCTCGCATTATAGCATCAAGATCTATTAGCAAAAATCAATCATACCTTCGTACCGAAGGGACCAACAGGCGGATCCATATCAAACCGCTTCCTTCCCTAATTCCAAGAAAACAAATCATCAGAAACAAATCAAATTAGAGACAGAACGAAATCAAAAGCAACAGAGATATAACCTCGAGCTCAGCCTGCAGCTCCTCTCGCTCAAGGCCAGTAGCAATCGGCATCACATCCTCCACCTTCTTACTCAGCGAGCCCTTATCTGCTCCAAAACGAACGAAAAAAAACAACAGCAACAATCTCATCAGATCGATCGAATCGGATCCTTCCAAGATCAAAATCTGAAAATGAGAGAGAGCGCACCGGAATCGGAGGAGAAGAGGCGGGTCGTCGCAGCGGCCGCGGGGCTCCTTAGGGTTTCACCGCTGAGGCGAGGGCGGAAATGGGAGAGGGATCGGGATCGCCACGGAGATAGGGTTTGGAGATGAGATGAAGCTCTCCGCCACATCGTCGTCGTCGCCGACGCCGTCGTGATTGATTCTCAGGTCGCCGCCGCTCTTTGGCTTTGGATTTTTGTTGAGCACAATCTTGGCGCTTTCACGCTTTGATCGAGAAATGGGAGCCCGTTTGATCTGATGCAATCAGTGAGGGGAAGTGGAACGAGGAGGTTTTTATATAGGCACGTGCCGGGGAGCTCGCGTTGGCTTGGAGATTCGTGCTCTAGAGATCGGGTTTCAGAAAGGCCTGCCCAAGGCGAGCCCGATCTTATTGCTAGTTATAACTTACTAGTATTCATCTCGTGCTAAGCACGACATCCTTACAGATTATAATAACAACATCTCCATCACCTAAAACGTTTCAAAGTTCCTGATCACCGATTCCCATCCCACCTGAAAAAAAATATATCAATAATCGCAATACCAATTTAAGGTGTAAACATTGGGATAAACCACCGGTAATCACACACCCAAGCATTATCTGTTCGCAAATTTTGCAAACTCTGCTTTCAAATGGTTCGGGTAATGAAGAGGTACACGGCCCACGACCCCTCATTGACGGGCGTCACCAAGCACCTTCATTATAAACAATTGACAATAGTGTCTCCGATGTTGGACTAAATTTTACAGCCTAGCATTCTCCTAAATCGGCAAGTGGCACTCAATAATTAGTACCCCAATAACAGACAAAAATTTAATTTATAGTCCTGGTCGGGGTCAAAACAAAATTCTCCCCTCATCCTACTCGTACTTCTGTGAGCCGTGTGAGGTGTGAAGAACACGTCAAAGTCTCACCATAAAAACCCCACCAAACATCCATTGTCAGTGGTACCTAACACGGTGGTAGACTTCAAATCGTCTCACCATAAAAACCCCACCAAACATCCATTGTCAGTGGTACCTAACACGGTGGTAGACTTCAAATCTTTCTTTTTCTCGCCATCTAAACCCCCACGAACAAATTTTCACTGTAGACCCAATTGAAGTTTTAATTACCAAAATCGACCGTTTTTTTTTTAATTATCAAAATCGACCCGTTTTATGCCACGTAAGCTTAATCCCGTTTCCTAATTAGTCGGGGTTGCCAACCCCGACTGTTTAGAATATTACAAATCGGGTTTTAAGACTTCTAATTGGGGTTTAACAACTCCTAAACAGTCGGGGTTGGCAACCTCGACTAATTAGAAAACAGGATTAAGTCTACGTGGCATAAAACGGGTCGATTTTGGTAATTAAAAAAAAACGATCGATTTTGGTAATTAAAAGTTCATTTGGGTCTACAGTGAAAATTTGTTCAAACCCCCACTGCTTGTGGCAAACGAAGCAGTAGCGGAACTTCCTTGAGAAAGTTTCATCTGGATCAAATCCAATAAAGATGGACTCTTTCTCAAGCGAAGACCAAGTGGGCTAGGTTCATCAAGCAAACTGCACTGTACAGATTGTGGAGGTACTCCTTCCAGTATTTGGATCCCACTGCCATGGAAATATAAGATTTGAGTATAAAACAAATGATGAGTTACAAATGATAAAACAGCTTGGGAAACTTACCAATCATTCATGCTCTCATCACTAAGTACCACCTTATCCAATGAGGATAAGGAGAACCATAGAACATACCAAACACACAAATATGGTTATGCAAGATAACACTAAAAAACATAAATTTTACTTAAAAAGATTCAATGCCAAGCAAGTTCCTTCTTTAATATAAAACTTCTATACATTTACATAAGCAATGTTCTTGGTGACATGAATAGGAATATGAAATAGTACTTATATAGTAAAAGAACCTTCAGAGGCTTCAGAGGCCTCAAAGCGAACAAAATGTTCTTAAAATGACAATAACTATAAATAGTTAACTAAAATGAACCAAAACAGCTATATGTAAATATTAAAAAAAAAAGCCTTTAAAGTGGTCAATCACCAAAGGGCTCTCAATATGTGCAAAATAAAATAAAGTAATTTTTTAGGTAAATTATTAAACGATCTCCAAGCTAGAGCTCTAAAGTCGAATAAAAAATCGAGATTTATAATAAGTTCCAATTCAAAATACAAATGTATGTTGAATTGAATTGGATGTCTTCATAGGCTTCTCCAAAAATATCTAGAAAAAAAACTACATAAGAAAAGAATCATTTTTTGTCCCTATTTATCCACTCTGCAGTCACGATCGTTTAATCATATAGTTATTTCAAACCCCAAAATTAAACCCCGAGAATCCTCAAAAGTTAATCCCGATCCATATTAAACTAAGTTACTGAAAAAGAGAAAAGACCTAAGATTTTATCTTCTTGCTAAGAGGATCATGCTCTTCTTCCAATTCAAACCTACTATCGATCGAAAGAAGAGAAAAAGATGATGCTTCGATCGTTGTTCCGTCCTCTTCGGTCGACTGAGCTCCGGCGACGCCCTCCTATGGAACCTCGCCCTGAAGCATCGTTGTTCCGTCCTCTTCGGTCGACTGAGCTCCGGCGACGCCCTCCTATGGAACCTCGCCCTGAAGCCCCACTCCTCCGGAGACTTCTCCATCGCCATCATCCAAGCCAACTCCTCGTAAGAAGACCAATGCCAGGTCTTTACCTCTCTTTCGGCGACCTACGTCGGCGTTTACGACGGCCACGACGGACCCGAGGCCTCCCGTTTCGTCAACTCCTGCCTCTTCCCCTCATCTCCAGAGTACGAACCCTAACCCTAACCTTCAAATTTCTCAATAAAATGCGACCAAAGTTTCAAATTTCCTCAGCATCTCCTCCCCCTCCTTCTATCAAACCCTAAATCTGAAACAAAACCAATGAAACTGAGTAGAGATCGAGAGAGAGGGGTTAGGGTTAGGGCTTGAATTGGATCCAAGATCTGACCTTTGGGGTATCTGGAATCAGATCCGAGTTTGAGAGCGCGGGATCTGAGGTCTCGTTGCTCTCCCCTCTTCGCTTCGCTTACACTCTCTCGTTTTATGTAAGCTTCGTTTTTTGAAGAAATTTAATTTTGAAACCGGCATGAGAACGTGGGAGTTACAGGAGGTGGGAGAGTTTGGAATTACCGGAGGTGGGAGTTGGTTATAGGAAACGTGGGAGGTTGAGTTACAAAGACGGTTGTGGGAAATTGATATTAAAATACGTGTAAAATGAGAAATTTTACTGTTCACAGTAAGATTTTCCTTTAGTTATAAAGGAAAGTAGATATGTCATCCCCAGTGTTTTCCGTGAAGATTTTGGTTTTTGTAATTTTTTTTAATTGCTACCGTGATTTTTTTTTTAAATGGGACTTTATCTATACTACTTCTAAAAGAAAAAACAAGTGTCAAAACTTTTGTATGCCTATTTTGCCCCTTTAAACTTGCTTAATTATAATTTTATCCTATATTTCTATCTAATTATTCTTACTTTTATGATTATTATTATCAGTGTTTAAGATTATTAATTCACATTAAAAACGTTGCCAGTATCATGCCCTTTCCCCTGCCACTCTAACCCACGCGCCCACCTCCTTCCTCTTCATCTCCGTTTCTCAACCACTGAGAAACGGATGAATCCCCCTGCCTCTTCATCACCCGGCCCCCCCGCTCCCGCATTTAATCATTCTCTCCTCTGCCGCTCCACCCACCCGGCCCCCCTCTATCTCTTCCGCTTGCGTTTGCCACCGTTGGCGGCGGAATCACGACGCGCATGGTTAGATCGCCGAGGGATACTGGAAAGATCACTTTTCCTTCACCACTAAAGCAGGTTGCTCGATTTGATGTTTTCTAGGGTTTTTTTTCTGGAAAGATCACTTTTCCTTCACCACTAAAGCAGGTTGCTCGATTTGATGTTTTCTAGGGTTTTTTTTTGTTGGATTAGGTTTTACTTATTTTGTTTACCCTTTTTGGTATTCGATACATTTTAGATTAGTTTTCCCCAATTATTAACTGGAAGAGAGAGATTTTTTTGGGTGGTGTTAATGAGAAAGATGATGATATACATGATCCCTTGTATTGTTGGAATTTTTTGATATTTCCCCTGTGAATGTATGAATTCTGGATATTTGGAATCCCACCCCTCATTTGATTAACAAAAAGGAAAAAAAATGTTTTTATCCCGTTTCTTGTGTGATTTTTTAAGATAGTATGGGGAGTTTTAGATTTGTGTTTGCCTTCTGAAAGTTATTTTCGTGTATTTTCATTCTTTCCTGATCTAGTAGAACTCTTCGTCAGGCTTCCAACGCACTTGGAATCACTCAAATCCGAGTTCGGACGAAGAATTTACAGCGGAAGCGGACGAATGCACCTCAGAAATTCCAAAACACCCCCAGGGGTGTCTCGGAAATTCCGAGACACCCCAGGGGTGTCTCGGAAATTCCGAGACACCCTAGGGGTGTCTCGGATTTTCTGAGACACCCCAGGGGTGTCTAGGCTTTTGTCTAGGCGCCCCAGGTGTCCCCATTGCCTATAAATAGCAACCTTAGGCCTCATTTTTTAGGATCTGGATTTTTTGGAGAGTTGGCGAAGCCCTGCTGCAATGAAGAGTGGTCGAGCGCTTCAACAGAGGAGAGGTCTTCATCAGATTCTTCATCACTCGTGTCTGTTCCTTAGTATTACCCTTCGCCAGTAATCCTAAGAAGAGCAAATATCTCGTTTTAGCCGAGATAGGCGCTTCAAGCTTCTAGATCTCCTCGCGGATCGACGAAGCTCTGTCCGATTTTTCCGGAACAGATCTGAGTGCCAGGTAGTCCACGGATATCGACGTCCCCATCACAGGCCAAAGACCCACGCAAGCAAGAGACGATAAACGGATCTTGCGTTTATTTTCAAGAAAGTTATAATTTTTTATTTTTTCATTTGATTCATTTGTAAACGATTAAGTTTAATGGAATCAATGATGAAGGCGAACGTTTCGAGCGAAAACAACTGGCGACACACAAGTGGGAGCAACAGCCTCGCTGCGCGAGGCTTCGTGACGCAACCGGTATTCAGTTCGGGAAATGTAAGAGATACGAATACCGAGTAGCGATCGACAAAAGTTTTGAAGAGTACCTCTCTCCTCCTTCTCCAGATCCGCCTCTCGAACAGGCAGGAAGGCATCCTCTTCCAGAATTTGTTCGCGGGAACCTCGGCCTCGAGTCCAGGATCCATTGCCGCCGCTGCACTTGCACCACGTGACGTCCCTGCGTCGTCCAACGTGGTCGAGACCGCAGATCCGGACTTCTCCTCCGCCGAGGAGATGGCTACTGAAGACGCTCCAGCATTGTCAAAGAGAGCACGCCAAAGACGGCGTCAACGCCTTGCTCGTCAGCTGGCCAAGGCTTTGGAGCCGATGGACGGGATCCGCTATAATGTGGATCTAAAATCCAGGCAGCGCCGGGAACAACAACGGCGAACAACCAACTCCTCCTCCAAGACAGAAACGAACGAATGGGTTCGTGTCAAGAGGACCCGCTCCACCCTCGAGGAGCGAATCAAGAAACGTCGAGCATTGCTCACACATGCCCGAGACCTTTTGCAGAAAGCGAAAGAAATGCAGAGGGGAGAAGCAGTGGAGAAGCCGCCTAAGCGCAGACAAGTTTGGGTGCCAAAAGCCAAATCAGCACCTAAGGCAAAAGCAGGCAACGTTGCTCTCCGGCCTTCGTCAACTTCGGTGCCAAAAGCCAAATCAGCACCTAAGGCAAAAGCAGGCAACGTTGCTCTCCGGCCTTCGTCAACTTCGGATCCCGAACCTCCGATAAAGCCCTACCGCAGCACGGATTTCCCCAAGTTTAGGATTCCTCTGAAAGATCGTATCGGTGCCCTGCCCGAGAATCGAGGAAAAGCGCTTGTTAAGGAAAGCTGGAGATCGTTGAAGGAGCTTTGAGCCAACATCCGGACTGGGGGTCGTACGCGACCTCCTAACAAATTGATTTCTGCAACGGCCCGCTTGGCGGTGCGTGCAGAAAACCAGGAGCCCGTTAAGGTTTCACCCTCACAAGGGTGTGATTCCAAAAGTGTGACTCCTGTAGATGCCAACAATGCAATGTTTACTCAGAGGAAAACGCGTCGGACAGACGAACGCGTTATACCTGAGAATCCATGTGAGCAGCCGATAGGTTACTCCGACCGCAACGTCGATGAGTTGTACTATCAGGCTGGGGGTACGAATAAATCTCGAAAGAGAAGTACCCGGGAAGCGGACTCTCACTGTCCGTGTATCAAAATTATCAGGGCAGTATTATCAACGTGTAGCTGCCCCAAGACCGCTCCGCAGAGGGTCTCGATATTCGAGAGAATCTCCGATGGAACGACGAAGCCCAAATCAAGGCGTTTCCACCAAAGAGGATCGGTTGCTCGAGATGATGAATTCCCAGAAGTTACCATTAACATGGTCAACAAGGGAAAATCTCCAATTGTTTCAAGTGATTCCGACCCTAATTTCTTTCCAGGAAGCAGAGTCAATTCGGGAATAGCTCAGCTTCAGCTAGAAGCCGTCCGATATAACGATTACCATGGGATCCATGAAGGAATCCATTCCGATGACGAACTCTCAGATTCTTATTCCGCACTCGCCTCCGACGATACAACGTCTAGTATAGGACAAGCTCGAGAAGTGTTCATGATCAACACCGAGCAAATAGCCAAAATCATGGAGGATGCTCTAGCCAAGCAGAAAGAAGCATTCAAAATCGAAATGAAAATGGCTATGCAGGAGATGAGACAAATGCACGACCAACAAATCTGAGCTTTGTCAAATCAGCTAGTTGAATCCAGCCGTCGCACCCAGAACACCGCAGTTGACAGCGATCCGGAAGTGGACGAAATCATCATGGCCGACGCTCTGCCCAAAAATACTGGGGGTGACCCCACTAAAAATAACGACACTGGGGGTGGACCCACCAATGATGATAACACTGGGGGTGGCCGTATTATTCCTCTTGAGAATTGTCCAAAACAGGATATAGATGAGGCCGAAAAGATGAAGGATCTCGAAAGAAAAATTGACGCCCTGATGTCTGCTCGAGAGGTGAAGAAGACCGGCATTCCGTGTCCTTACCCAAAAGAGTGGGATTCGATCCCGTATCCGGCCGAGGTGTCGATCAGGACACTCTTCGATGAGAAACAAAAAGATGGAGAATCGGTGGATACCTTCATCAAACGCTTTCGCAATCAGGCAATGAACTGTAAGGATCCCGTCACGGAGGAATTCTTCTTGCAGACTTGTCATAACAATTTGTCCATTAACATCTTGGATGTTATGGGAGTAGAGCCGCTCAAGACATGGAAGGATTTGAAGGTCCGAGGAGAGCAAGCCGAACGATTCCTCAAAAGGAAGAAGGCCGAGAGGAGCCAACCGATGGCTAATTCTCCGAACTCGAACTTCGCCTCTCGTGATAGGGGCAAGGCACCTGCAGCGGCTGTTGATCAAACGTCAAAACAGCAGTCCCGAAGACAGCAGAAGACTTCGGATCAAAAGGCCCAGAAAGAGTACTCGTTCAAGGACGAAGACGTTCCCGCCATCTTCGAGTCTCTTCTCGAAAACAACAAAATCAAGCTCCCGCCCATCACGAATCAGGAGGAAGCTGAAAATACTACGGATCCAAAGTACTGCGCGTACCACAGGAGGATCCTTCATCCCACCAAGGCTTGCTTTACTTTAAAGAATAGCATCCATACCTTGGTTGAGGCCGGCGTCATAACGTTAGGGTAAGCCAAACGGTAGTCGGACTCCGAAGAGTATACGAGTATAAACTGCTTCTCAAGACTCCGACAAGTATAAGAGTATAAACTGCTTCTTAAGACTCCGACAAGTATAAGAGTATAAACTGCTTCTTAACACTCCAACAAGTATACGAGTATAAACTGCTTCTCAATCCTCCAATTGGTATGTATATGAGGTTAAACTGCTCCTTGATACTCCAATTGGTATATGAGTCTAAACTATTTCCTACCGTTGACGGGAAGTTCCTGAAGAATTGTTGTATATAATATTCTTAAGGATAACCCGATCATGTAACCGAATGCGATGATAAATCCAGCTTCGCGAAGAAGCTGGGGGTGGATGATTCATGTAACGGGAAGTTCCCGGAAAAATACTATATGTAATTCTCTTAGGGATAACCCGATCATTACAAACAAAGTGATAAACACTAAACCCTACTGTGATTTGTATGAGTCAACACTCTCGATGTGATTTGTACTCCTACTCTTACTGTCTACATGGTCAAACCTTCTTATAGTTAGGGCCACAACTAAAGTTCCCTCTCGATTCCTTCCATGAACGAGAGGTCCACTTTCAATTCGAGTGATCAAACCTTCCTACAGTTAGGGTCATCTCAAACCCCTACTTGGTCAAACCTTCCTACAGTTAGGACCAAAACCAAAATCCCCTCTCGATTCCTCCGATGAGCGAGAGGTCCACTTTCAATCGAGTGATCAAACCTTCCTACAGTTAGGGTCCCTTCCGACAGTTAGGACCAAAACCACACTTCACTCTCGATAAACGAGAAATTTATCTTTAGTTCGGTAATCAAACCTTCCGACAGTTAGGGTTATCCGAATCTTGTCGATTCTCGGAGTGGAGATCCCACTCTTAGTTTCATCTTTTTGGATTCTAGGAGTGGAGATCCCACCTCGAGTCTCCCTTCCAACTGAAGATAGACGACAGTTAGGGTCGTTTGAGCCTTTCGGATTCTGGGGGTGTGCCACCTCGAGTTTCCTTTCCAGCTGAAGATAGAATATAAAATTCTTCTTCTTCAGTGTCGGGAGATAGAATATAAAATTCTTCCTCTCCTATTTCGGGTTCGTCTTTGCCCCAAGAGAAGACACCACCTTTTTCAACTCCCAAAATCCATGCCTTTTATGCATGGGGAATTTTATCCCGAAGCCTAAGCAGGGATAAGCCAACGCCTAACACGCGTTGCCGGTTTAGTCTTTCACCGGTTGAAAAAGACACCAGAATTCCAGTCTAGGAAGTTTATCCCGAATCCTAAGCAGGGATAAGTCTGCGCCTAACACGCGCTGCCGGTTTAGTCTTTTTCCGTAGAAAAAGACACCAGAGTTCGATTCTGGGGTATTCTATCCTGAAACCTAAGCAAGGATAAGTCTGCGCTTAACCTGCGCTACCGGTTAGTTCTTAACCATTAAAAAGAACACACACGCGTTGCCGGTTAGTCTTTGACCGTAAAAAGGACAAAAGACCACATATTCAACATTGTGGCAGGTTGTTATTAATAACACCATAATCCGTGCCTCACACGCACGGGGAATTTTATCCCGAAGCCTAAGCAGAGATAAGTCAACGCCTAACACGCGTTGCCGGTTTAGTCTTTTACCGTTTGAAGAAGACACCAGAATCCGAGTCTGGGGATTTTTATCCTGAATCCTAAGTAAGGATAAGTCAGCGCCTAACACGCGTTGCCGGGTAGTCTATTCCCGTGAGAAAGACGAAGTCTACGTATTCAATATCGTAGCACTAAAAGAGTTAACTCTTTTAGCTTAACGTTACATGTGGAACGGACTTAAACAATCCGCATGCTAGCCCGACTCAAACGGTAGTCGGTAAAGGCTCATCAAACCCGTTGATGGCTGAGAATTTGCCAAAAATTCTATAAGTGCGAGTCATTGATGCATCAGCTCTGTTAGTTGGTCTCGTGACTCGATTATCCAACAACATTAAAATAAGATCCACAAATACAGATGAATCAACTTTAACAGTTGGTCCTGCAACCCCGAAACTTGGGACCGCCTTGCTCCAATACCTTAAGAGCTTAAACTGTGTATACTCCAGTAAACGTACGAGTATAAACTGTGTCAACGTCGGGCAGTCCGTAACCCTAGGTCAACGCCAGTCAACGCGTAACCCTAGGTCAGCGCCAGTCAACGCATTGCGACCAAAGTAAACGTTTGACAATTCGAAATCCTAGGGTCAACGCCGGTCAACGCATAACCCTAGGTCAACGTCAGTCAACGCGTTGCGACCAAAGTCAACGTTTGACGATTCGAAACCCTAGGGTCAACGCCGGTCAACGCGTAACCATAGGTCAACGCCAGTCAACGCGTTGTGACCAAAGTCAACGTTTGACGATTCGAAACCCTATGGTCAACGCCGGTCAACGCATAACCCTAGGTCAACGCCAGTCAACGCATTGCGACCAAAGTCAACGTTTGACGATTCGAAACCCTAAGGTCAACGCCGGTCAACGCGTAACCCTAGGTCAACGCCAGTCAACGCGTTGCGACCAAAGTCAACGTTTGACGGTCAACGCCGGTCAACGCGTAACCCTAGGTCAACGCCAGTCAACGCGTTGCGACCAAAGTCAACGTTTGACGATTCGAAACCCTAGGGTCAACGCCGGTCAACGCGTAACCCTAGGTCAATGCCAGTCAACGCGTTGTGACTAAAGTCAACGTTTGACGATTCGAAACCCTAGGGTCAACGCCGGTCGACGCGTAACCCTAGGTCAACGCCAGTCAACGCGTTACAACCAGAGTCAACATACTATGATCCGAAACCCTAAGTCAACACAATGTGACAGAGGTAGTTCAAAGTCAACTCAATGACACGAGCCAAACTCAATTCATCAGCTGCAGACTCGAGACTCCGACGACGGACAAGCGATAAACGCAGCGCCGGAAGAACTTCGGCTATTCGTCAAAGCATCGAATAGACCGAAGGAGCCAAGAGTTGAAGCTAACTGCAGGTCCCTTACGCCGACTGAAGGCTAGACCAATCACATCCAAAGTATTCCAGCCTCTTCTATAAAAGAAACGAGTCCGGAACGCTTTGGAGGGGGTATCTGTAGGCATCGAAAATTGCCTATAGGTCTCCACGAACGGTTCAGTGTTAAACAGCGACGATGAACGTCACTATCCGATCCACAAGAGTTCGATTGACGTCGATGAACGATTGAAGTGAATCGACGAACTACGTGAGCTGATAGGATTTCGGGATAACAAAGGCACGGGCTAATCGAGAGCCCCGTGATGTTGCAAAAAGAACAATGCCCTTCGTGTCTCGTTCATTCTACAGATAATCCAACCATTGGAGCAGATAGAACTCTTCGTCAAGCTTCCAACGCACTTGGAATCACTCAAATCCGAGTTCGGACGAAGAATTTACAGCGGAAGCGGACGAATGCACCTCAGGAATTCCAAAACACCCCCAGGGGTGTCTCGGAAATTAGGTGTCTCAGAATTTCCGAGACACCCTAGGGGTGTCTCGGATTTTCTGAGACACCCCAGGGGTGTCTAGGCTTTTCCTAGACACCCCAGGGGTGTCTAGGCACCCTAGGTGCCCCCATTGCCTATAAATAGCAACCTTAGGCCTCATTTTTGAGGATCTGGATTTTTTTGGAGAGTTGGCGAAGCCCTGCTGCGGTGAAGAGTGGTCGAGCGCTTCAACAGAGGAGAGGTCTTCATCAGATTCTTCATCACCCGTGTCCGTTCCTTAGTATTACCCTTCGCCGGTAATCCTAAGAAGAGCAAATATCTCGTTTTAGCCGAGATAGGCGCTTCAAGCTTCTAGATCTCCTCGCGGATCGACGAAGCTCTGTTCATATTTTTCCGGAACAGATCTGAGTGCCAGGTAGTCCACGGATATCGACGTCCCCGTCACAGGCCAAAGACCCACGCAAGCAAGAGACGATAAACGGATCTTGCGTTTATTTTCAAGAAAGTTGTAATTTTTTATTTTTGTCATTTGAATTCATTTGTAAACGATTAAAGTTCTAATGGAATCAATGATGAAGGCAACTTTCGACGAAAACAATGATCCCTTGTATTGTTGGAATTTTTTGATATTTCCCCTGTGAATGTATGAATTCTGGATATTTGGAATCCCACCCCTCATTTGATTAACAAAAAGGAAAAAAAATGTTTTTATCCCGTTTCTTGTGTGATTTTTTAAGATAGTATGGGGAGTTTTAGATTTGTGTCTGCCTTCTGAAAGTTATTTTCGTGTATTTTCATTCTTTCCTGATCTAGATTTAGAAGTATTCTGATTCTGAAAATTTTAGGAATAAATAAAGCGTTATGATTCTTAATATTTTAATCAGTTCCCGACGATCGGGGAGGCGAAGAGGATGGTTCTGGTGAGGCACGGGCAGAGCACGTGGAACGAGGAGGGGAGGATCCAAGGGAGCTCTGATTTCTCCGTTCTCACCCCGAAGGACGTCTCAGGCCGAAACCTCTTGCCATGTGCTCATCGCCGACTCTTTTGATGTCCGCTTCACCAGGTTCTCTTTCTTCTTCCCTCTACCATTTTTGTTGTCTTTCATTTATTTCCAATTTTCCATCCTTTTTTTTTTGCTTATCACCATAATAGATTAATCCTGTGAAAATACAAAGTATCAAACAAGCACCCTAAGCTTGAACATTGTGTGGTTTTATTACATGGAAAAGATAAATGACATATGCTTTCACATCGGTAGACAACCTTGTGTAAGTTGTCTAAATTTGTCATATCTTATATAGCTTTCTTAATATTTTTGAGTGACTATAGCAGTATTGATATTATTATTATCATTACTGATAGAAGATTATTTTCCCTAACATGTTGCAGTCCCTTGATCCGACCAAAGAGAACTGCTGAGATTATATGGGCTGCTCGACAGGAGGAAATGATATCAGAATCTGACCTTCGGGAGATTTATCTCTACGCTTTTTAAGTTAGCAGTGGTAATGCTTCTTATAATCCCTAATTATTTTGTTTACCCAAATTTAGATTAGTTTTCTCCAATTATTAACATTGGAAGCTTTATTAATAAATAGCTGATTCTTTAAATCTACAATTCCAGGGTCTTTTGAAGCACGAGGGGATCTACAATTCCATGGTCTTTTGAAGCACTAGGGGAAGGAGAAGTTTGGTAATGCTTATCGCCAGTGGCAGAAGGATGCACCCAATTTTAACATTGATGGCCATTATCCGGTAAAAGAACTTTGGGACCGAGCCAAAAGCTGCCGGAGTAAAATTTTAGCTCATAAAGGCAAGTCTGTCATTGTTGTTGCTCACAACGCAACTAATCAAGCCCTTGTTGAAACAACATTAGGTACTAACTGTTTTCCATGTTTGTTTGAACTTTTGACATGATAGCTGGAGTTACATGTTATAACATTTATACGTCTATTAAGGATTAGGCATGGACTACTTCAGGGTAATGCTTCAGAGCAACTGTGGAGTGAGTGTGCTGGATTTCACTCGAAAACCTCGAGATGACTCTCCCCATGTATGCATCAATAGGTTAAATCAGGTAAATATTTGGTTTATCCACATGTCATAATAGTTTGAAATTGGATGAGATAGAAAAATGAGGTTCCCTTCCAATGTATTCAATATCCATGGCTTGAGCTTGTCTATCATCAGAATGCTTTCTGCAAATATCAAGTGCTGCTGGAACTTTCTTGATTTAATTTTTCTCCATAGTTATCTCAGATATCAGTAATGATAGTAGTAGGTCATAATCCTCACATGCCTATTCCTTGATGCTGCGCCTACTCTTTTGTACTACTTTCATGCCATCTACTGTTTACCGTCTAATATTTCTTTAAATAACATCAGTTTTATGATGGAGATCTCTATTTTCTGTCAGTAAAATGGAACTTTTCTATCATATGATGCTTTTCTTTGATGTGGCTGCAGACCCCAAATTCACCTATCGCTGGGGGGGACTTCAGCTGGAAGAAAAACTTCCAAGAATAACTTCCAAGAAAAACTACCAATGTATTCAATATTATTTTCTGCCTATAGAAAGCATCTAAATTTGGGTTCTTTTGATTGACGTGTCGATTGCAGCCAGGGCCAAAGGAGCTTCCAATGCAGTGCTTTATTAAGAGAAATAAGAAGAACTCTACATTCTATCTTTATCTCACCTTGAACCAAAGTAAGATGATGTTCTTAGAAAACTTAAACATTTTCTAGATTTAGTTGCAGATAACCCCCTCATCTATACCTTTACTAGCACTTAACGTGTCTTAACTCATTTATTATTCACTTAGCACCCCTCAATTCTCGAGGAAGGAAACGAGTGTTATCTACAATTGTCCTTCTAAAACTCGTCCAGGACTCCAATGGCTTGCTTATACATGAGTTGAAGGATGCTAAGTGCTAATAAGGGAGGTTATTTGCAATTTGACCTATTTACTATGATTCATTTTCTTGTGCCAAAGTTCCCGTCTTTGGTTATTTGTTTGTTTTAATAATTTCGCGCGGCTGTTGGGTGGAGCGAGTTTGCTTTTGAATAGTTCTAGGAGGAGCAGGTCCTGGTTTCTCACCCACACTTTTGGGAAAACAAAACTTGGACTTTTGTCTCTTGACTATTATAATCGAGTAAGTTGAGCGATAGAATGAGTCAAAATTTGATAGTTTCTATGATTTGAATGAAGTATTTGAGTATATCTCTTGACTTTTATAATCGAGTTAGTTGAGCAATAGGAGGAGTTAAAAATTGATAGTGTCTGAGATCTGCATGAAGTTTTGAGTTTGTAGGAGTGCACACCAAAAATACTATTAGCACTGTCATTGTCATGGTATAAATTCACATAATTACCTCAATTGATGCACTCAAGGATGGAAATGTCTTCTCTTGAAAAGTAATTTTTGGCAGTAATTTGAATATGTTGTGGAGTTTTCTCCTTTATGACATTGTAGGTCTTCTATCAGTTAGGATGAAATTTCAAATCAGTTATGCTTAACTGTTCAACTAGAGATTTAATAGTTAATACGTAAGATCTCATAACTCATTGAGCATCCTGTTATCATAAATGCATAAACATCAGCTATGTAATTGAATAACTTGTGTTTACCTCTTATAAACCTACCCAAACGCCTTAAGGATTATTTGTGAAAGTTTTTGGCCTCATTCACAAAGCAAGTAGAAACTATTTTGTCATTTTATTGTTTAGATATTTTGTTATTTTAATTCTTTGCATGTTGTTTGCACCCTAAGTGCTCAGAGGCTAATGCAAATCATAGAAGTTTACATGTTTTTTTATGACAGTAGAAACTTCCAGCGTTTTTCCAATTGGCTTTTTCTCAATAGGATAGTTCATAAGCTTGTATCCATGTGCAGGAGCTTAAATTGCATGACCTATACGACAGACTTGCTATATTTTACTATTGGCCAACTAGCCTTATTTGAGACCACTCTGTTAATCATAGTTTTCTATGGGCGATAGTTTCCCTGTCCTGGACATGATTTTGTTATGAATTCATATGTGATTCTTTCATTGGATAAAGTCTCATATACCCCTTACATTCATTCTAACTGCTACACCTCTGATGTGCAAGTGGAAAGCCTTCCCCTTTGACCCATTTTCCATGCAACTTCTGAGTCTGCCTTTTTTTTGGGGGAAGAACTTTTGCAGTATGGAATTGTGCTGCTTGGCTAAAAACAAATCTGTAGGAGTTGGTTTGCAAGTTTGCTTTGTACAATGATGTTTTCTGATTCCCTCATTCTCTGGCTACTGTTATGTTTCTAATCTTATTGCAGATCTGATTTCGTGGGCAATAAGTTCACAATATACGACAGCCGCCCACCTTTCACTTATCATAAATGCATAAACATCAGCTATGTAATTGAATAACTTGTGTTTACCTCTTATAAACCTACCCAAACGCCTTAAGGATTATTTGTGAAAGTTTTTGGCCTCATTCACAAAGCAAGTAGAAACTATTTTGTCATTTTATTGTTTAGATATTTTGTTATTTTAATTCTTTGCATGTTGTTTGCACCCTAAGTGCTCAGAGGCTAATGCAAATCATAGAAGTTTACATGTTTTTTTATGACAGTAGAAACTTCCAGCGTTTTTCCAATTGGCTTTTTCTCAATAGGATAGTTCATAAGCTTGTATCCATGTGCAGGAGCTTAAATTGCATGACCTATACGACAGACTTGCTATATTTTACTATTGGCCAACTAGCCTTATTTGAGACCACTCTGTTAATCATAGTTTTCTATGGGCGATAGTTTCCCTGTCCTGGACATGATTTTGTTATGAATTCATATGTGATTCTTTCATTGGATAAAGTCTCATATACCCCTTACATTCATTCTAACTGCTACACCTCTGATGTGCAAGTGGAAAGCCTTCCCCTTTGACCCATTTTCCATGCAACTTCTGAGTCTGCCTTTTTTTTGGGGGAAGAACTTTTGCAGTATGGAATTGTGCTGCTTGGCTAAAAACAAATCTGTAGGAGTTGGTTTGCAAGTTTGCTTTGTACAATGATGTTTTCTGATTCCCTCATTCTCTGGCTACTGTTATGTTTCTAATCTTATTGCAGATCTGATTTCGTGGGCAATAAGTTCACAATATACGACAGCCGCCCACCTTTCACTATCGCAAAAGCATCAAGTAGTCGGAGGAGCCGACGCTTCACCAGCAAGCAAATCAGCCCACAATCTTCGGCTGGTAATTTCAAGATTGGTCATGCATACAAATTCAACCTTCTCAAATCTTGAAGACCAAGAAGAATGTTTTGCAGATTACAATGCCCTCCAACCGAAGAATCCACCAAAGGAGAAGAATCATCTCAACCTCTTGTCTGTGGTATTGAGGAACAAAGCTCCTCGATGGCATGAGCATCTTCAATGCTGGTGCTTGAATTTTCACGGGAGGGTAACCGTTGCTTCTGTGAAGAATTTTTAGCTTGTTGCAGCTTCGAATCCATGTCAAGTGAATGGGGTTAGAGAAGATGAGACAATGCTGCTCCAATTTGGGAAAGTTGAAGATGATATGTTCACAATGGACTATAGGCAACCACTCGGCTTTTCAGGCTTTTGCCATTTGCCTCACTAGCTTTGGTACAAAGTGTTCATGTGAATAGAAATGCTTAGCTCATAATTTAATGTTGCGGTTATGTTGGTGGACATAAATTGGGCAAGCGTGTTGTATATTTTCGATGTATGAACGTTGTTGCTTTTGGACCAACTAGGGATATGTTGAAGCAGCTACTGGCATCACTATTTCTGTTGGACATTTCTTATGTATTATAAAGAAAGCATGGCCTTGGTCCTTGAGTCTTGGAGTATGTATGACTTTCAAGTGGTTTGCTTTATGTACAGAGATTGACACGAGCAATTATAGGATGAACTTAAATGAACTGGAATGGCTTCAATGTATGGCATCATTCCTCCACCGAACATACAAACATAAAAAGTAATATTTCTTTGCGTCAAGAAGAGGTAAGTTGACTCTTTCTAAGAGATTTAGCTTTTCGTTGTATGTATGCTAATTTAATACTTTCCAGATTGGTAATGTAATGCTGAATATTAGTTATTTGCAGTTAAGATCAACTTACCTCTTCTTGATTGTACGTTCACTTTTATCACGCGAACCATATATATGGTTGATTAGGTTTCTTCTCTATGGACATTATCCTACGTCCTGTGAGATAATGGTTAATTGGCATTCATATTGTTTATTGTGTATAAGTTCAATGCATAATTATGGAAACATTATGGATTTTGACTATTGTAGTTTCTTAATATGCATCACGTGCAATGCACGTATTGCATACTAGTTAATTATAAAAAGGAACAAGGCCTACAGCTAAACATGGAAGAAGAAAGAAAAATGTTCAATGTAGGACTATTCATATACTATTTTGGTACTACTATTCACAAAAAGTAAGGTAGTGAGTGATGAGTCTCATGATCCATTCTTTTGTGAGTGTTAGCGTCAAAGTAGTATAGGAGTAGTAGTACTATTTTCACTACTTAAGAAGTAGGAGTAGTAGTACTATTTTCACTACTTAAGAAGAAATTTACGAATATTATCAATCCAAAAAACATGAACGAATAAATTTACGAGTAGTATCAATCCAAAAAACTACAAAGGATATAAAAAGACCAAATTGGGCAATGTGAGAGCTAGCCTATTAGGTACCGTTTGGCAAAGGGTTAAGAGAGGGGTTAAGAAGACTTAACCCCTTCTTAACCTGCCAAACACAACAAATCTATATAAGGGTTAAAGTGAGTTAACTCTCCATAATTTACCAAACATAAAAAATATAGAAGGGTTAAGTTAACCCCTCTAGATGGGTTAAAATAAGTTAACCCATCAAAATAAGGGGTTTACTAATACTCCTATTTAGATGGAATAAGAGTTAACCCTTCTAATTATAAAGAAAATAGTCAAAATCATTGTTATTCCCAAACACTAAAACTGATCATAAGGGCTAAAATAAAACTTATTTAATGGGTTAATAATTTAGTCCTTCGGATTATCAAATAGGCTAAATACATTAATCATTCTCTTTAACCCCTCTTCATTAACCCTTTGCCAAACGGGGCCTTAAAGAACAAATCTTGAAAAAAGTTATAGCTAGGATTAGAGCCTCCTCCACATAGAATGCCCTAATGTCTTTGACAAGGTCCTTTTTGCTGCAATTCATAAAAAATGTCTCTTTCATCCACATCTATCACTACCTTATCCTCATTCACTCGTCTAGCCAGTTAGAGAGCCTTAATAGCAGCCGCTGTAGTCACAGTCTAAACAGATCCAACTCCTTCGAAATTCTTTGTAAAAACAGCCTTAATAGCAGCCGCTGTAGTCACAGTCTAAACAGATCCAACTCCTTCGAAATTCTTTGTAAAAACACCTAATATCAATCCCCTATGCATACCTAACGTGAATAGCTACTTGTGAAGATGTTTGTTATATGAAATGAAAGAAAAACCATTAAAATGTATGTGACGAGTACTAGTCTTCTGATTTTAATATGATAAGTTCTGGAATTCTGTATTTGAGAACAGTAATTGAAAAAATCGTCGGTGAACAGTAATTTTTTGGATTTTTCTTTGATTTTTTCTTCAATTTTTTCCAATTCTGGATCTGTTTTGAAAATAAAAATCAAAGATTTTTTGGGTTCGGCGGCGGTTTCAATTTGAAACCCTAAGGGTTCATGGCGAAAATTGAGGAGGTGGTTACCTCAAACGAACCTTGCGTTCGTTCTCAGGACGAACTTTGTGTTCGTACTCAGGTTGAACTCTGCTTTCATTTTTAAACGAACCTTGCGTTCGTTCTCAGGTCGAACATTGCGTTCGTACTCAGGTTGAACTCTGCGTTCATTTTTTAACGAACTTTGCGTTCGTTCTCAGGTCGAACATTGCGTTCGTGCTCAGGTTGAACTTTGCGTTCATTTTTCAAACGAACCTTGCGTTCGTACTTAGGTGAGTCTCGTACTCAATACAGTCGAACCTTGCGTTCAAAGTTAAGGGAACTTCGTGTTCATTATGGTTAAGCCTCGGATTTTCATGGGTCCACTTTGGTATACTTAATTTATTCAATTAAGTTATGAGCCCTAATTAAGCTGTAAGACCCCAATTAAGTTTTGGAAATTCAGTTGATTTAAAATTTTTTTTAAAATCTAATTCGGTTCTTAATCAATTATTTAATTCAAATTTTATGACACTAAGGTATTAAGGTTGTCTCTCACTCCAATTGATTAATTGAAACAAGAAGTTGCCAAAGTAACCTCTCTTGTGTAGGTTGTTCATAAGGAATGTGAGATGTTTGTGTGTATGCTTTCGTATAAATATTTAATCGGCCCAAAGGAAGGTTAATATTTATTTAGACTGTATACTCATCTGCGATGATAAGCGTGTGACAATTATAAGGTTTACATGTGAATAATGAATCGATCCAAAGATAGTTTCATTATTTGACATGAGTTATTGTCAATGTTTGATCATTGCAACAAGGTATCACTTACAAGTTAATATTACTGTCCAAAGACTTGATATTAATGTTGTGCCGGTATCTTGGATGGGGATTGTCATTATTTGAATTTTATTGATTATGGTTATTGATGTGAGCATTCTTTTGTTTTATTTCAGCTAATGCATCTGCTGCAACAATTTCTGCTAACATCAACTCAATTCCCATGCTAAATGGGACAAACTTCAAGGTTTGGAAAGAGAACATATTAATTGTTCTTGGCTGCATGGATCTTGACTATGCATTAAGAACTGAACAACCCCAACCTCTCAATGCGGATAGCACTCCTGATGCAAAGAAGGAGCATGAGAAGTGGGAGCGTTCAAATCGCATGAGTCTTATGATCATTAAGCGCGGCGTTCCGGAAGCCTTCAGGGGCATAGAATCCGAAGGGATTACTAAGGCTAAAGATTTCCTTGCCGAAATTGAGAAGCGTTTTGCGAAAAACGATAAGGTAGAAACAAGCACGCTTTTAGCTCGCTTGATTTCAATGAAGTATAAGGGCAAAGGAAATATCAGGGAGTACATTATGGAAATGTCTCATATTGCTTCAAAGCTTAAGGCACTTAAACTCGATCTTTGTGACGAGTTATTAGTGCATCTGGTTTTGTTGTCTCTTCCTGCACAGTTTAACCAATTTAAGGTCAGTTATAACTGTCAAAAGGAGAAATGGACTCTAAATGAGCTCATTTCATACTGTGTGCAAGAAGAAGACAGGTTGAAGCAAGATAAGACAGAAAGTGCTCATTTGGCCTATGCCTCTAAGGATAAGGGCAAGAAAAGGAAGAATGATAAGGAAGCTGCTAAGGGTCCAGTTGAGAAGAAACAACATAAGGATAATCAGGGTTGTTTCTTCTGTAAGAAGCCTGGACATGTAAAGAAGGACTGTACAAAATATCACGCCTGGCGTGATAATAAGGGTACGTTCCTTGCTTTGGTCTGTTCTGAGGTTAATTTAGCTTCAGTACCTAGAAACACTTGGTGGTTAGACTCTGGTGCTACTACTCACATAAGTGTTTCTATGCAGGGTTGCCTGAGCTACCGAAAGCCAAGTGATGTTGAAAGACACATCTTTGTGGGCGACGGACAATCGGTAGATGTGGAAGCAATTGGGCACTTTAGGTTGTTGTTAGGAACTGGTTATTATTTGGATTTAAAAGATACTTTTGTAGTACCGTCTTTTAGACGGAATTTGGTTTCTGTTTCTGTATTGGACAAATCAGGTTATTCTTGTTCATTTGGAAACAGTCAATTCAGTTTATCTTTTAATTCAAATGTTGTGGGAACCGGTTACTTGAGTATTTATGACAACCTATATTTGCTTGATACAATTGCTTCTTACAATGAATCCTTGCATGTGGAATCACGTGGTACTAAGCGTAAATTAAATAAGGAAAATTCGGCGACATTATGGCATAAGCGCTTAGGTCATATCTCAAAAGGTAGAATTGAGCGTCTTGTGTCTGATGGCATTTTGGATTCCCTTGATTTTTCGGACTTCGACGTATGTGTTGAATGTATCAAGGGAAAACAGACCAAAGTGAAAAGATTAGGTGCCAACAGATCTTCGGATGTCTTAGAATTGATACATACGGATATTTGTGGGCCATTCCCTACGGAATCCTGGAATGGTCAACAATATTTTATATCATTCATAGACGATTACTCACGTTATGGGCACCTATATCTTATTCATGAAAAATCTGAGTCTCTGGACATGTTCAAAGCCTATAAAGCTGAAGTTGAGAATCAACTCAACAGAAGAATTAAAACCGTCAGATCTGATCGTGGTGGTGAGTACTACGGTAGATATGATGGTTCAGGTGAACAACGTCCAGGACCATTTGCTAGATACCTAGAGGAATACGGTATCGTCCCACAGTACACCATGCCGGGTTCACCTAGCATGAATGGTGTAGCTGAAAGACGAAACAGGACTCTTAAGGATATGGTAAGAAGTATGATTGCTCATTCTTCTTTACCAGAGTCACTCTGGGGAGAAGCACTTAAGACAGCAGCTTACATTCTGAATAGAGTACCAAGTAAAGCAGTTGCTAAAACACCTTATGAGCTTTGGACTGGTCGAAAGCCCAGTTTAAAGCATTTACATATTTGGGGATGTCCAGCTGAGGCAAGGCCTTATAGGCCAAATGAAAAGAAATTGGACTCCAAAACAGTTAGCAGCTACTTTATTGGATACTCTGAACGCTCTAGGGGCTTTAAGTTTTATGATCCCACTATAAGGAACATTTTTGAGACGGGAACAGCAACATTCTTTGAGGATGTTGAGTTTGGGGGGAGAAATAAGGTTAGAGACATTAGTTTTGAGGAGGAATTGGCTTCAGATCCAATCCATACAGTTACTTTTGACAATATTCAGGT